GCAGCCGGATCTTCGGGTGACAAACGGATCTCTTCTCTTCGAGCGATGTCATCGCCAGTGGAGTAGGGAACCCAATGCTTGGAAAGAAGGGTGGCCAAAACCTCATTATTTTGGACAGTTCGATGACAGACGACAGATTCCAATGTTCCACCCCAGACACTCCATGGGACTGCCATATACGGCGGCTACATGTATTCCCTTCTGGCACCACCCCTGGCCCTTTCTCGGTAGTCCTATGCCGGTCTCATGGGCCGGTTATGGGCTGCTTGGGATGGGAAACACCTCCACCAGCCCCAACAGCTCGTGGGCGTCCGTGGGCGACGCTGGCAGGCTTCACCACGCCTGTTTTCGGCGTGGCTTGAACTGGTAGCGCGTCCTCCGTTAAGGTGCCCGCCGTCTCCGGGTTTTCCGCGGCACGGAGACGGGTCGACCTCCCCGAGCGCCCCCAAGGGCGGAGACTAGGCTGGTCGTTCCCATGTGTTGAATGGTCGAACGGAAGTCTAAGCCAGCACCTTCAAAGGGGTCACCTGGCTGGAAGCCCCTACACTACCTAGGGATCTCCAGACAGGACACCCCTTTGAAGCTCCAGGAGGGCAGGTGATTGGTTGGAGACGATTTCGGAATTGCTTCAGGAGAGCCCAGTCGTACCTTCTGAGAAGGTCTGTAGATCCCGGGCCGGACCGGGCTTCAGCTTCCAAGACCGGGTTTCGGACTACGCCATGTACCAGCAAGAAGCCTGTGTGGCCATCAAGTGTCCATGGGTGGCAGGGTCCAGGGGTGTCTTAAAGAAAGACTAGACCGACAAACGTTTTAAGGGTCCCAACGGTTCTTGGGCGGGGTCTCTTGGGAGATATATAAATCTTTTGAACATCACTGAAACCTTCAAAAGCACCAGATACCAATTGTTCCAGAACTTCCAATATTTGCAGGCTTTGGTAGTTCTTTGGCGACCCGTCGTTCGCGCGGTTCGGGACGTTTGACAGTTGTAACTCCTCCACTGTGAGTGTCCGCACTTTCCGCCCCCCAACTCCCGGTTTCCGCGCCCCATGGAGTATTCACCAACCCTCCCATTTGGATGCGCGCACACCTCTTCAGGCTTGGGGGGTGCGAAATATCATCTAAGAGTCTCCATTGACCAAACGCTGCGAACCAATCACTCCCTCAACGGCGTTGTTGTGACGCCGGCGTCGTCCGCGCGTGAACCGGCGCGGCGTTTCCAGGACTTTACTCTCCTGGGAAGCTCGTCGTCCGTGGCGTCGTTCGCACGCCCGGGATTTTCGACGTTGCTCTTCGAGCAAGCCCGTGTGGGAGCTCAGAGCGGTGTGGGGCGAAGCAGAAGGGAGGAAAATATGGGAAAATGGTTGGTAGTTGATCCACTCATTGGTTGTTGGTCAGTGAAGAAAAGTAACGCCAGTTGAGGGTGACCACAGACCGCTGGTCCTTTTCTTACGAGAAGAGAACGGCCAAGCGGTCGACACGACGCCTAGGCAAGGACACGGCCGCATAGGCGTTCGACCTGTTGGTTGGCCAGTCTTTCGATCTTGGAAACAACCAATGTGCCCATGTACCAGCCGGTTCAATGTCGGGGCCCTGGGATTCAAACAACCATTGTTTTAATGGTCTTTACCAAAGAACCATTGTCTTACTAAGGATTTTTACACTACACTACCAACTCAACCAGTCTTTTAATGGTCTTTGAAGGCCGGGGGGGTGCTATCCATGGAGGAAGTCAGGGGCTTGCGCCCAAAACCCATCCACAGCCCCTTGTGGATGGGACGAGCTGTCCAACCAGTCCGACCCGTTCCACCGCTGGTACCGTGTGAACCGCCACGCGACGCGACCGTGTGTTGAACTGAACGCCGTGGTCCCATGACGTGATCGGTTCCGATGATGGGGAGGCTGTGACGATGGACGTTGGAGGGCACGTCTACCATCGAAAAGGAGCATGTGGGTGGTTTAAAGGTTTTTGACCTCGTTTGTCAGCAGAAGAAAGCAACAACAACACGAAACACCGAGCAAAAAACACCATGAAAGGACACAAAAGGACTTCAAACCAAGAGTATCAAGAAAGCATCTTCTTTCCTCACCGACCGTGTTCGCTGAGGCTTGGGCCCCATGCTGTTTGCCTTGGATTTTGTACACGCTGGACTGCCGCCATTTGCGCAGAGTCTTTCTTGAATTGGCCCGACTTTGTCAGTCTATGGCATCACTTGACCGGACAGTTCTCCCTTTGTACTGGACTTTATAGACTTTGGCTCATTGCTGTTCTCACGGACGCCTATCTGACTTGGAAGCGCTACGTCCGCCTATGGCATGAGCTGCCTGGGCCTTGCGATGTCCGCCTTAGAGTTCACCAGCTGTGGTTCAGCCGTACTTCTGCGTAGTCTTGTGCAGCTAGGGAGTGTGCCATTGGCTTACGGCTTGGCGCGCCTCGAAGCCTTTCTGTTGGTTTTGGACTTTGTTCATCTGGGTTTCTTGACCTTGTCGCGGAGCCATGTCTACTTGGACTTCACGACGTCGCCTTATGGCATGTCGTGGTCAGAATTCTTGCTCTTGGTGCTGGATTACGCACATCTGGGTAGTGCCTCATTGCTCCGTAGTTCTGCATGTCCTGAGCTCATCACGCCGCCCTATGGCAGCGTTTGATCAGGATTTCCGTCCTCCGTGTTGGACTTCATCCACTTGGGTTCGCCTCCACCCCTGCGAACGCACGGCCGCTCAGGACCTGCTTCGTTGGCCTATGGCTTGTCACGACTCGACCCGTTGATGCCCATTCTGGATTTTGTACATCTCGGCTTGATGACGTCGCCTCAAGGACTTGTATGACTGGAGCTCTTCTTGTTGGTCTTCGGCTTCACTTGCTTGGACTTGGCACTCTTGGTCCTCGAGATGGTTCAGGTGGGCTCTCCCATGCCTTTACGTAGCCCTGTGCAGATGGAGCTCTTGATGTCGACCTATGGAATGACTTGACTGGGAGAATTCCTTTCGGCTTTAGATTTGTTGCTTCTAGGCTTTTCTTCACCGGCGCGCAGCCTTTCACGTGCAGGTAGCTTCCTGTCAGTCTACGGGATGGCTTGCCTAGACAATCTGCCTTCAACTTTGGATTTCCTCCAGGTCGACCTTTTACTGTTCCTTCAAGGTCTTGCCTGTTTAGGCTTCTCGGTGTCCATCTTCGGTTTGGCCAGTCTCGAGCTCTTCTTTTCGGTCTTGGACCTCGTGTCTGCTGGCTCATCGCCTTTGCTGCAGTCGCATCTTCGACTGGGCTTTTTGACGTTGGCGTCCGGCGTGGCGCGCCTAGGCTTCGTGATGTCAACCTATGACTACGTGGAGCCGGGCAGCGGGTTGTCCGTCACCAGCTTTGCGCGGTTGGGATCTTTTCCGTTGATCTACGGGATTACTTGGCTGGGGTCATCACTGTTGGTGGTAGACTACCTGACATCAGGCTTCTTGTTGTTGCTTCATGCCTTTATGCACCTAGGGCCAGTACTTTCGCTCTACGGCATGTCCCGCCTTGGCTCGACTTCATTGATGCTAGACCTTGCGGTTTTAGACTTCTTCATGTTCTCGAGGGGTCGCTGCCGAATGGGCTCCTCCATGTTCATCTTCGGGCTGGCACGTCCAGGTTTGGCCTTACTGGTCTCGGATCCTGTTCAGCCGGGTTCTTTGATGTTCACGAGAAGCTTTATGCACTTGGACTTACTGTCATCAGCCTCTGGAATTGCATGTTTAGGTCTTTTGACGTTAGTCGTGGACCTTGTGGCATCAGGCTCTTCGCCTCCGCCGCGCGGGCTCGTTTGACTTGGATTGGTGCTGCTTTCGAGCGGCGTGGCTTGATCGGGCTTTCCTTCGCTGGTCTTGGACCACGTTCAACCAGGCCTACCTCTACTTCTAAGAGGTTTTGGATGCTCAGGCTTCGTGTTGCCGGCCTTTGGAATGGTTTGCTCGGGTTCCCTTTTGTTGGTTCTCGACTTCGCCAGTTGTGCGTCCTTCTTGTTGGCTCGAGGCTTTGCACGCTTCGGCTTCTTCTTGTTAGTCTATGGCATCAGCCGATCCGGCCTCTTCTTGTTGGCCCTGGACCTTGCACATATGGAACTCTTGCTGTTCTCACATGCCTACAGTTGTTTAGGCTTCTCATCGTCCGCCTACGGCATGATGTGCTTGGGCTTCTCGCCCTTGGGCATGGACTTTGCTCACTTCGGCCCGGCCTCTTCGCCGCGCAGCCTCGCGCGCTCGGGCTCCGCCACCCCCACGTACGGCCTGGCTCGCTCGGGACCCACCACGCCGCCGCCGGACCACGGCGCGGTCGGCCCACCGGTGTCGTTGCGGAGCCATTTGCGTATTGGCTCGGTGTCGTTGGTCTATGGCTTGTCACGGTCGGGTTCCTTCACGTTGGCCTTGGACCTTGTGAGCTTGGAGAGCGTGGTGTTGGTACGTGGCCTCGTTCGGATTGGCTTGGTGATGTTGGCCTATGGCATGTCCCGGCCTGGCTTGTTCTCGTTGATCCTGGATCATGCGCACATGGGGTCTTTCCTGTTCTTGCAGAGCTATATTTGCTTGGGTTCCGTGCTTCTGGCCTTTGGCATGACGTGGCCAGAGCTCTTGATGTTTGCCTCAGACCACATCAAGGTCGGCAGCGTCCCGTTGGTGCGAACCTTTGCGCGGTCGGGTCTCATCCCGTCCGCCTATGGCATGACACGGTCGGGGCCTTTGTCGTTGGCTTTGGACTTCATTACTCTAGGCTTCTTGATGTTCCTCCAGAGTCACTCGCAGGTGGGTTCGGCGACTTTCCCCTATGGTGTAGCGAAGCTCGGCTTTGCTTCGTTCGTCCTGGACTCTGTGAGCTCTGGCAGCTTGCTGTTCTCGAGATCCTTTGCTTGCATGGGCTTCATGACGTTGGTTTATGGCATGGGATGCCTGGGTTTCTCCTCGCTGGCTTTGGACTTCGTGGTCCTAGGCTCGTTGATGTTGATGAAGGGATCTGCTTGAACAGAGCTGATGATGTTTCTCTATGGTCTCAGTTGCCCGGATCCTTCGATGTTAGCTTTGGACTTCATCCACTCAGACTTGCTCGTGTTCTTGCGAGGCTCTAAACGGATGGGATTCTTTTTGCTGATCTTTGGCCTGGTTTGATTGGGATTCCCTTTGCTAGTGCCGGACCCCATTCAAACTGACTTATCCTCATTTCCGCAGGCGCCTGCATACTCAGGATCGCCTCTCTCAGCCTTTGGCCTAACTTGACTTGAATTCTCCTCATCGGTCATGGACCTTGGAACTATGGGCTCCTCCTTGTTGTCGCACGCGATGGCAAGGCCCGGATTGGCAGCTTTGATCTATGGAATCACCCGTTTGGGTCCCTTCTTGTTGACCTTGGACTTCTTTCAGCCTGGCTTCTCGCTTCCCACGCGATCCTTCGTGCACTTGGACTCTGCGACGTTCACCTATGGCATGGGGTGTCCAGGATTTCCCTCATCAATCCTTGACCTTGTTCATATCGACTCCAGCTTGTTTGTGAGATCTCCAGTTCGACCTGACCTCGTGATGTTTGTCTACGGCATGCAGAGGCTTGGCCTGCCACTCCTTGCCTCAGACCTTGTGCATATCGGCTTTTTGGCGTCCTTCAGAGCTTTCTCAAGGTTAGGCTTGGTTCTGTCGCCCTATGGCATGTCATGCCTTGACTCGGTGGCATCGGCCCTGGATTCCCTGACCTGTGGATCGGCGGTGCCCTTGCGAGCCTATGCACACTTCGGGTCGGCGATCTCCGCGTATGGCATGGGGCGCTTGGGCTCCTCGTCACTGGCGTTGGACTTCGTCAAGATCGATTTGGCCTCTTTGCTGAAGAGCCACGTGCGCGTGGGCCTGATCTCGTCCGCCTATGGCTTGGCTTGCACTGGATTTTTCACGCTGGCGCTGGATCACGTGAGTTGTGGATCGGCCCTACTGTCGCGTGGCTTGATGTGAATTGAATCCATGTTGTTTGCCTATGGCATGTCGAGGCCTGGTAGCATCATGTTGGTCTTGGACTTTGTGCACTTGGACTCAGTGTTGTCGGCCAAGGGCCTTGTTCGTTCAGGCTTCTTGCCGTTGATCTACGGACTATCAACGCCAGGATTTTTGCTGTTGGTGATTGACTTTGTGAATCTAGACCTCGCCTTGTTCACGCGGTCTTATGCCCAGGTTGGCTCAAGCCTCTTGGTCTATGGCATGCTTCGGCTTGGCTTCTCGCCATCCATTTTGGACTTTGTGCACTTGGGTTTGTTCTTGTTCTTGCGATCTTTCGCTTATTCGGAACGGGAGATGCCGGTCTATGGCATGTCGAGATCGGGCTTGCCTCCGTTGGCGTTGGACTTTGCAACTCTGGGTCCGAGCTTTTCACTGCGAAGCTTCGCATATTCGGACTTGCTGCTGTCGACTTATGGCATGTCCTGCCTAGGCTTGTCACCGTCTTCGCCCGACTTCCTGCACCTGGACTTCGCCTTGCTTCCGCGAGCACACTGCCAACTGGGCCTTTTTCCATTGGTCTTTGGCATGACTTGCTTGGGCTTCCCACTGCTGGTGCCAGACCTCGTCGGAATGGGCTTCTCCCCTTCCTTGCGGAGCTTTTCACGACCTGGATCGACGTACTCGCCCTATGGCCTTTGCCGCTCAGGTGACATGGCATCTGTCTTGGACTTCATGCAGTTTGAGAGCTTATCGTTCATTCGAGGCTATCAGCGAATTGGCTTGGCCTTGCTGGCTTATGGCATGTCATGACCTGAGAGTACGTTGTTGGTCCTGGACTTCATCCATTTGGACTTCTTCCTGTTCTTGCACAGCCACATTCGCCTGGGCTTCGCTTCTTTGGCCTATGGCATGGCTCGACTGGACTTCTCGTTGTTGGTCTCGGACTACTTCGCCTTAGGCAGCTCCTTGTTGACGAGGGCCACGTCACGCTTGGGTTCGACGCCCTCGGCCTATGGCATGGGACGTTCGGGCTCCTCCTCGTTGGCCTTGGACTTCGTGACAGTGGGCTCGGCCTCCTTCTTGCGGGGCCTCGCGCGGCTGGGCTCGTCGACGTCCATCTACGGCATGTGCGTGGTCACCGAGGGCTTCCGGACAAGTGGCTATGCCGAGTTCTTGAGCTCGTATTCTGTGCGGAGCTTTGCACGCTTAGAGCTGTCGTCGTTGGTCTATGGCATCTCTTGCTTGGCGTTCTTTCCATTGGCGTTGGATCTGGTGCAGATCGGATTCGCTCCGCCCCTGCAAGGCTTTGCTTGTTTGGAGCTCTTCTTGTTGGTCTATGGCATGGCTTGCTTGGAGTTGCCTTTGTCCATCCTGGACTTCGTGAACATGGGATTGCTGATGCCTGCATGTAGCTTCCTAAGAACTGGCAGAATTCTGTCAGCTTTCGATTATGGCACCATGCAAAGCTCTCTCTCCTTGAGAGGCTTTGGCAGGTTAGGCTTTTCGACGTCGGTCTATGGGATGATGAGGTCGGGATTGCAGTTGCCTGCCTTGGACTTTGTACACACGGACTCATCCTTGCTGCCACAAGGCTCTTCGTGGCTTGACTTTGTGGCATCCGTTTATGGGATGGTCTGCATGGACTTCTCCTTATTCGTGCTTGACCACGCTATCATGGAATCCTCATCCTTCTTGCAGGGCCATGGATGCATAGGGCTACCGCTCTTGGTCTTTGGCATGACATGCTCAGGTTCTTCCTCACTGGTCTTGGACCGGATAGGCTTGGGCTTTTCCTTGCCACCACACGGCTTCATGTGCCCCGGCCTCCCCGTCTTAGCCTTTGGCATGGCTCGCTTGGAGCTCCTGTTGCCGGCCTCGAATCCTGTGGAGATTGGTTCGCCGCCCTTGTTACGGAGCTTCGCCCATCCGGGTTTGGCCACGCCACCGTCTGGTGTGATGTGCCCAGACTCGCCGACGTCGATGTCGGATTCTATCCATGTGGACTTGGCCACGTCCTTGCGCGGTCCTGCTCGACTCGAGCTCATTCTATTCGCATATGGTGTGTCGCTGTCAGGCTTCTCTCTGCTGGTTCTTGATCTTGTGCAACTGGACTCAATGGTGCTGCTACAGGCTTGGACTCGACTTGACTTGGCCTCATCAACCTATGGCATGACATGCCCCGGCTTCAGTTTGCCAATTCTGGATTCCGTCCATTTGGGGCTCTTGCTGCTGTTGCACTACTACTGCCGCATCGGATTGATGCTGTTCGCTTATGGCATGGCTTGCTTGGGTTCGTTGCTGCCTTTGTCAGACTATGTGAGTTTCGGACTGTTTTTGCTTTTGAAGAGCCATTCATGCTCTGACTTACCAACGTTTGCATACGGCCTGAGCCGACTTGAACCATCAGCCCCTGTACTTGATTCTGTCCTCTTTGGCCCACTGCTATCCTTACAAAGCTATACTTGACTGGACTCGCCGCCTTCTGCTTATGGCATGAGTCGCATCGACTTGTTGCTTTTCGCCCTCGACTTTCTTCATTCGGGTCCCTCGCCTCCGCTTCGCGGATCTGTCCGGTTGGGTTTCACCCCCTTGGTCTTTGGACTCAGCTGTTCGGGCCTCTTCCCTTCTGCGCTGGACCTCATTCACTTAGGCTTCTTCTTGTCGCTTCGGGGTCCTTCACGCTTGGGCTTCCCGCTCTTGGCTTCCGGAGTCAGCCGCTCGGACTTCTCGCCGCTGGTGCTGGACCTCATCCAGCTGGACAGCTTCATGTCGTTGCATGGGCTCATGTGCTCGGAGCCGCTGCTTTCGGTCTATGGCATCGCCAGCCTCGGATCGTCTCCGTTGGCCTTAGATCTTGTGAATCTGGACTTCTTCTTGCCACCGCAGAGCCTTTTGTGCTTGGGCTTCTTGTTGTCAGTGTTTGGGCTGACCTGCTTGGGACTTCTGTTGCCGGTCTTGGACTTCCTGCACTTGGACTTCTGCTTGTCGCCCCAAGGCTTCGCATGCTCGGAGAGCTCAACCTTGGCCTTTGGCATGTCCAAATTAGACTTCTCGCTCTTAGCTTGCGACCCCTTAAGCATTGGCTCGATCTCATCACTGCAAAGCTTCTCCCAAATTGATTCCATCATGTCAGTCTTTGGCATGACCAGATTGGGCTTCTTGCCGTTGACCTCAGACTTTATCCACTCAGACTCCGCTTTGCCACTTCGAGGCCTTGTGTGTGCCGAAAGCTTCTCGTCGGCCTTTGGCATGACGTGTTTGGGCTTCCCGTCGTCGGCCGTGGATTCCATTCAAATCGATCTCCCTTTGTCTTTGCGAGGGTTTCTCCGATCTGAATCTCCGCAGTTGACCTATGGAATGACTCGGCTGGGACTGCTCTTGTTGGTGCCTGACCTTGCACATCCGGACTCCTTACTGTTGTTGCAAAGCTTTGTGAGGCCTGACTTCGTTCTGTCGGTTTTTGGCATGACACGCCCTGGCTTACCACTTTTTGCCTTGGATCTTCTGCATATGGGCTCCCTGCCTTTGTTGCGGGGATACATGCACGTGGGTTCTGCCTTACTGGCTTATGGAATGATGCGCCCGGAGCTTTTTCTGCTGATCTCGGATTGTTTGCACTTGGGTCTCACCTCGTTTCCACACAATCCTGCGCGTTTGGGGCTCGCCACGTCAGCGTATGGCATGAGTAAGCCTGGATCAATCTCATTGGTCTTGGACTTCATTCAAGTGGGCTCCAGCCTTTCAGTACACAGCTTTGCTTGCTCAGGACCCTCAATCTTGGCCTACGGCATGACGCGTTTGGGTTTCTCTTCATCTGTTCTGGACTCTTTACACATTGGCTCCATCTTGCTTCCTCATGGTCTCGCCTACTCGGGTTCCACCTCGCTCCCCTTTGGCTGTGCACGTCCCGGTAGTTCGATGCTGATCGTGGACTTCATCTCCGTGGGCAGCTCCTCGTCGCCGCGCAGCTCCGCGTGGATCGGTTCCAACACCTTGATCTATGGCATGAGCTGCTCGGACTTCTTCTCGTCCGCATTGGACTTTGTTCACATGGAGCTCTCATTGTCTCTGCAAGGGCTCTTGTGCTTGGGCTTCTCGCTCTTGGCCTTTGGCATCTCGTGCTTGGAACTCAGCTCATTTGTACTTGACCCTGTGACAGGAGGATCAACCCCTTCTTCGCACAGCTTCATGAGGCCGGGCCTTTCTTCGTCACTCTTTGGCATCACTCGCTTGGGATCCTTCTTTTCGGCCTTGGACTTCGTTCATCTCGAGAGCTGCTTGTCCTTACAAAGCCATGTTCAATTGGGATTCTTGATGCTCGCCTATGGCTTCTCACAGCTCGGACCACCGTTGTCGGCCTTAGACTCTGTGAACTTTGAGTTTCCTTTATTGGCCCAGTGCCCTGCACAGGTGGGTCTCTTCTTGTCGATTTTCAGTGCCGTGCGATCTGAATTCTCCTCGTTGGTCTTGGACCTTGTGAAGATCGATTCCCTCTTGTCATTGCATGGCCTTGCCCGCTTGGGGTTTCCTCTGTCCATTTATGGGCTGACATGTTTAGAGTCTTTCCTTTCAGTTTTGGACTACTGCCACTCTGAAAGCTCCGTGCCCTTGCGAGGCTTCATGCACTTGGAGCCATCCATATCAGTTTATGGCTTTTCCAGGCTCGAACCTTCCCTGCTAGCCCTGGACCATGTCATCTTAGGCTTCGTCATGTCCTCGCAGAACCTGTGCCGCTCGGGCTTCTTGCTGTCGGTCTATGGCATGACTTGCCTGGACTTGCCGCTACCCGCATCAGACTACGTCCAGCTGGGTTTCTCCCTCTCGCCACGAGGCTATTTCCATCTTGGATTCGTGCTGTTGGCCTCTGGAATGACCAAGTCAGACTTGTCCTTATCGCTCCTGGACTTTCTTTCTCTTGGCTCATTTGCGCCCCTACATGGCTTCATCTACCTGGGTTTCTTAGCTTCAGCTTATGGCACCATGTGCTTAGGCCTCATGTTGCCCTCGCTCGACCACGTCTTCTCAGGCCCGTCCACTTCCTTACAAGGCCCTTTGCGCGTGGAATCGGCGCTTTTGGCCTTTGGCATGTCACGCTTAGGTTTTTCATCGCCACCCTTGGACCTCACGGGCTTAGGCTCCAGCCTGTCTTCGCGATCCTCCGTGCACTTGGAGCTTTCCTCGTCGCCCTTCGGAGTGTGCAACCCGGGCTCATTACTGCTGGCATCGGATCATGTCCGTTCGGACTTCAGCTTGCTGTTGCAAACGCTCACACGTGCGGAGCTGCCGCTGCTGGTGTATGGCATGGTGAACATGGGCTCGTTGCTGTTGGTCTTGGATCATCTCAGCCTTGGTCTTCTAATGTCCCTGCAGAGCCACGCTCACCTGGACTCTTTGCTCTTCGTCTTTGGCATCACCTGCTCAGAGTCAAACCTCTTCGTGAAAGATTGCTTCGTTGGGTCAAGCTCTCTATCTGTGAGGTCCTTTGCATGCCCTGGCTTCAGTCTGCTGGTCTATGGGATGATGCGATTAGACTCTGGATTGCCGGCCTCGGACTTGATTCATCCGGACTCGGCCTTGTCCCCGCGCTCCTCCATGCAACTCGGCTTCACTTTGTCGGTCTATGGGCTTAGTCGACCGGGCCTGCCACTGTTGGTCTTGGACCTCTTCCACCCTGAGTTCTCACCCCTCTTGCAGGGCTATTGGCGACCAGAGTCCTTGATGTTGCTCTACGGAGTGGCCCGCATGGACTTGAGCTTGTTGATGTTGGATTACGTGAACATCGGGCCTTCCATGTTCACCCGAAGCCTTGTGCAATTTGGCTTGGTCTTGTCGGCTTATGGCATGAACTGCTTAGACTGGGGGCTGTTGATCTTGGATTTCGTGCATATGGGCCTCTCCTTCTCGCTGCGGAGCATGCTACAGATGGGGCTCTCGCCGTTGGTTTATGGCTTGGCTCACTTGGGATTGTCACCCTTCGCGCTCGACTCCGCACAGCCTGATCCGCTGTTGTCCTCAAGAGGCTTTGTTCGAACGGGCTCAGCACTTTTAGTCTTCGGATTGGCATGTCTTGGACTGTTGACGTCCATCTTGGACTTCATTCACCTTGAACTCTCTTCGCTCTCGCGGGGACTTGCGTGCTTTGGCTCCTCTCTGTCAGCCTATGGCATGTCACGTTCAGACTTGGCTTTGTTGGCACTGGATTCTTTGCATTTGGGATCCTTCATTCTTTTGAGAGGATTGATTTGCTCAGACTTTCTCATGTCTGCCTATGGACTCACCAAGCCTGGCTCTTCTTTGCCTCCCTCGGACCTCCTGAACTTAGGCTTCATGCCTTCCTTGCAATCCTACATGCGCTCGGGCTTGGCGTCGCCCGCCTACGGAATGCTCCGGCCCGACTCGGCGACGTCGGCTGCGGACTCCGTGCACTTGGAGCTTCCCTCGTTGTTGCGCAGCTCCTCGCGCTTCGGGTTCACGCTCTCGGTCTATGGCATCATGTGCCCGAACTCCTCTCTACCACTGTTGGACTCCGGTCATTCTGGCCCTGTGCTGTTCTTGTGTAGCTCCATTTGTGCCGATCCTTCCTTGTTCGTCTATGGCTTGAATTGCTTGGGCTTCTCTCCATCAGTTTCAGACTCCGTGCAAGTTGACTCCAGCTCGTCCCCGCGCACCTTCTGTCAAACGGGCTCTTCGACGTCCGTGTACGGCGTGATGTGTCTGGGTCCAATGCTGTTGGCCTCGGACCTCGTGAAAATCGGACCCTTGATCTCAGCTCGCAGCTCCGCGCGCCCTGGCTCCTCGCCCTTCACGTACGAGAAGAGCCGCTCGGAAGCCTCGCCCTCTGTGCTGGATCTCTTCCATTCGGGTCCATCCATTTTGCTTCGAAGTTCCGTCCGCTTTGAGCCGCCTCTGTTGGTTTATGGCTTGTCTCGTTTGGAGCCGCCTCTGTCGGCCTTGGATCTTGTACATTTGGACTTGGCACCCTCTTCAAGGAGCACGATCCGACTGGGCTTGGCCATGTTGGCGTATGGCTTGGCATGTTTGGGCTTCTTGGCGTTGATCTTGGATCTTGTGCTGTCGGACTTCATCTCGTTGATTCGAAGCTCCGCCCGATCGGAATCCTTCACGTTCGCCTGGGGCATCTCAAAGTCAGATTCGTTCTCGTCGGTCTCGGACTATGTGACGGTGGGGTCGACCCTGTTCTTGCGCGGACTTATGTGTTCTGACTCTTTCTCATTTGCCTTTGGCATGACTTGCCTGGACTCCTTGATGCTCGTCCTGGACATGGTGACCTTGGGCCCTCCACCGTTTTTGCACTCCTTCATTCAACTTGGACTGGTCTCATTGCTCTATGGCATCGCCAAGTTGGGCTTCTCTTTGTTGGTGCTGGATTTCGTGACAGCGGGCTCAGCAGTCTTGCCGCGAAGCTTCCTGCAGCCGGGCCTGATGCCTTTGGTCTTTGGCCTTAGCAAGTTGGGTTTGACTTTGTTGGCACTGGACTTCATTAATGTCGACTCTTCCTCGTTCTTGCAGAGCGCCATATGCGTGGATTTCACGTTGCTGGTCTATGGCATGATGAGAATCGAGTTGTTGATGTTGCTCTTGGATCCCTTTCACTTGGGATCAGCACTCTTCATGCAAAGCCACTTGTGTTTGGGACCATTCCTGTTGGTCTACGGCATGCAGAGATTGGACCTTACACCACCTGCCTTAGATTTCTTCCACTTGGGATCCTTGATGTTGTTGAGGTCACACGCACATGCAGGGCTGATGCTGTTGGTCTATGGAATGGTGAGGCTAGAGCCTTCTTTGCCAACTTTGGACTGCGGATCCTTTGACAGTACTATGCCTTTGCAATCTTCTTTGCAGATGGACTTGTTTCTATCCACTTATGGCATGAGCAGCTTGGGATTCTTTCTCTCAACCTCAGATTTTATCCATCCAGACTCCAGCATGTCCTCGAGGAGCCTCATTCACTTAGGCCTTCTCTCATTGGCCTATGGCATGACCTGCTCAGATTTGGGTCTTCCCATCTTGGATTTCGCACACCTGGGCTTGAGTCCCTCCCTGCGTGGCTTCCTACGCATGGGCTCCGCTTTGCCCGCCTTTGGCCTCACCAAGCTGGAGCTGTCCTCGTCGGCTTTGGACCTCGTGCAGCTGGGTCTCACGCCCTCCCTGCGGAGCTTCGCACGCTTCGACTTCCTGCTGCTGCTCTATGGCATGGCGAAATCGGAGCTGCCATCTTCAGTGCTGGACTACGTCTATTTAGACCTCACGCTCTCCTTGCGAGGCCACGTTCGCTTTGGATTCCCGGCCTCCGCCTACGGGATGAATCGCTTGGACCCGTCCTCACCCACTCTGGACTTCTTGGCATCAGGCTTCCCTTCGCCGTCAAGAAGCTTTGTGCAAGCGGACTTCGCGGTTCCTGCCTATGGCATGACGTGCACTGGCTCCATTCTGTCCGTGCTTGATCTCATCACGGCAGGCTCTTCCTTGTTGCTTCGAATGCATGCGTGACCCGAGCTCTCTCTTCTGGTTTATGGCATGGTGTGCTCAGGCTTCATGATTCCGCTCTTGGACTATATCTCCCTGGGCTTTACATTGTCAACTCGAGCACTTTCATGCGCCGGATCTTCGTTGTCGGCCTATGGCATGCTATGCTTGGGCTCCTCATTGCTCATGCCTGACCATTTCCACTTAGAGTCTCCTCTCTCCTTGCAAAGCTTAGCACGGATGGGTCCGTTCTCATTGGTTTATGGCCTGGTGTGCCTCGACTTGAGTATCTTTGTCTTGGACTTTGGAACCTTTGGGCCCACGATGCCGGTTCGAAGCCCCGTGTGTCTGGGATTCTTCTCGTTGGCCTTTGGATTGAGCCGCCTCGGACCTTTCATGTTGGTCTTGGACTTCATTCAGTTCGGCCCTGCGGCTTTCTTGCAGACTCTCGTGCACTGTGGCTTGGCACTCTTGGTGTATGGCGTGTCTCGACCCGGCTCCACCCCATTTGTCTTGGATCTCCTGCACTTGGGCCTCCCACTCTTCTTGCGGCACTGTGCTCGGTCGGGCTCTTCGTTGTTGGTCTTCGGAATGACACGCCTGGGTTTGGCCACGTCCATGTTGGACTCTTTGCACTTGGGCTTTTCCTTGTCGCTGCGAAAGCACATCTGAACCGGCTTCATGCTGTTGGCCTATGGCATGACGTGCATGGAGTCCTCCACCTCGGTCCTGGACTTTGCCTGCATGGGCTCGTCGTCGTCGCTCCACGGCTGCATCAAGACCGGCTCGACCTTACCGATGTTTGGCTTATCATGCTTAGAGTTCTCCATCTCAGTGTTGGACTCCATCTCAATCAACTCCTCCCCATTTTTGAAGGGCCTCGCGCACTTAGGCAGTAGCTTGTTGGCCTACGGACTGTCTTGTTCAGGGAGTTCCTTGCTTGCCCTGGACTTCATCCAGATCGGCTCCTCCTCGTTCTTGAGATCTCTTGCCCAAGCTGGACTCTTGCTGTTTGTTTATGGCATGGTGCGTTCGGGCTTTCAATTGCCAATCCCTGACCTCATCCACCCCGGGCTTTTGTCGTCCCTTCGCGGCTTCAGCAGGCCTGACTTGATCTTGTTGGCCTATGGCATGTCTCGCTTGGCGTTCTTCATTCCAGTCCCAGACCTTGTGAATACTGAACTGCCCCTCTCATTGAAGACCTATGCGCGATCAGATTTTGTGGCGTCCATTTATGGCATGTCAAGAACCGGCTTCTCTTTATTGGTTCTTGACCTTGTCCAGCCCGAGCCTTCTCCCTTGCTCAAGAGTTTCATCCGTTTGGACTTCCTGACGTCCTGCTACGGCGTCATGAGATTGGCGCCTTTTCTGCTTGTCTTGGACCTCGTGAACATCGGCTTGAGCTCGTTGCCCCGAGGCTTTGCACGAACTGGATTGGCACTCCTGGCTTATGGCCTGACATGGTCAGACAGTTCTCTTTTAGTCTTGGACTTTGCCAATCTGGGTCCCTCACTGTCAGCACAATCCCCTTTACAGCTTGAGCCCTTCACGTCAGCCTATGGGTTGTCACAGTCAGAGTTGTCCCTCTTGGCCTTGGATTATGTGCATTTAGACCTCTCGATCTCCTTTCGCTCATACATGCGTCCTGGCCTCGTCTTGTTTGTTTATGGCATGTCACGAGTTGAGTCACACCTCTTGGTGCTGGATTTCTTTCACCCGGACTTCTTGATGCCTTCGAGGTCGTTTGCTCGTTCAGGCTTCACCTCATTGGCCTCCGGCATGGCATGCTTGAACTTCTCCTTCTCGACTCTGGACCTCGGCTTTGTCGGGAGCTCCTTGCTGCTGAGGGGACCCGTGCACTCGGACTTCGTGACGTTGGCATATGGCATGGCATGCACTGAGTTCCTTTCGCTGGTGTTGGACTCCGTCCGCCCAGGCAGTTCATCATCGCTTCGAAGCCTTTGTTGACTCGAGCTGATGATGCCGGTCTTTGGGATGAGTCGCCTGGGACCTTTTTCGTTGGTACTGGACCCTGTGCATCTAGACCTCTCCTCATTCTTGAGGTCTCTTATTCAAAGCGACTCCACGTTGTTGGCCTATGGCATGGCATGGCTTGACCCGGCACCCTTGGTTCTGGACTACATCCACTTGGGTTTCTTCGTGCCCTTGCGCGGCCTCGTGCGACCCGACTCCAGCACCTCCGTGGTGGGTCTGGCGCGTTTGGAGTTCTTGTCGTTCGCCCTGGATCTCATCCACTTGGGCTCGCCACTGCCTTCACGCGGCCCTGCACGCTTAGACTCCTTCCTGTCCGCCTTTGGGATGTCCAGATTGGACTTGCTCTTGCCCCTCTTGGACTCTGTACACTTGGGCCTATCTCTGCTGCTGCAGTCGCATATCCAATTGGGATCTGCGCAGTTGGCCTACGGCATGACGTGTTTAGAGCTATTGCTTTTCGCTCTTGACTTCGTGCATATCGGTTCGTGTTTGCTGTCGCGGAGCTTTGGACAATTAGAGCTGCCTCTATTGATCTACGGCCTGCTGAAAATGGAGCTCCTGTTGCCAATTCTGGACCTTTTGTCGGTCGGGAGTTCCTTGTCCTTGCGAGGTTACAGCCATTTAGGTCTCACCACTTCTGTCTATGGCCTCACCATGACCGATTTCACCCTGTCCGCCTTGGATTATTCCACCTTCGGCAGCATGTTGCCCTTAAGGAGCTTTCTCCACACGGGTTCTTTGTCATCGGTCTATGGTGTGTCCTGCCCTGGCTTCTTCCTGTCCGCTTTGGACCTTGTAGGCTCGGGCTTGGCCTCGTTGCCACGCAGCTCCGCACACTTGGGACTTGCCTTGCTGGTCTTCGGAATGGCATGCTCAGAGCTTTCCTCGCTGGTCTTGGACTTCATTGCGGCGGGCCCTCTGCTGTCCTTGCGCGGCTCCGTGCGGCTAGAGTTGCTCTTGTCCATTTTTGGCACGTCCTGCTTGGGTTCAAGCATTTTGGTCTTGGACTTTGTGCACACAGAGAGCTTTTCGTTGACCAGATCCTTTGTTTGTTTGGGATTTACATTGCCGGTCTATGGAATGTCACGTTTAGACTTGGTACCTTCTTTACTTGACCATATTCACTTGGGCTCCCTGATGCCATCAAGGAGTCCTGCGTAACTGGAATTCTCTTCATCCGCCTTTGGCATTGCTTGTTTGGACAGCACGATGTTTCTGTTGGATTGCGGTGACCTGGGCAGCACTTCATCGACCCGCTCCTTCTTGCGCTTCGGCAGCTCGTCGTTGGCCTATGGCATGTGCCGCTCGGGCTCGTCGCCCTTGGTCTTGGACCCTTGTCAAGTCGAACCGCCGATGCCTCCGCGGGCGCCTATGCGATCGGGTAGCTTCTTGTTGGTCTTTGGGATCGTTCGACTGGGACTCTTGCCGTTGGTCTTGGATTCTGCCAGTATCGACTTGGCATCGTCGATTCGCTCCATGGTGCGACTGGACTTGACGGCTTCGGCCTATGGAATGACGCGCTCGGGCTTGTCGTTGCCACTTCTGGACCCTGCTAGCCCGGAGTTGATGCTGTTGCCCAGAGGATTCGCGTGGCTTGACTTCAGCATCCCAACGTATGGACTGTCATGATTAGACTTTGTCTTGTCCATCATGGACTTCATCCACCTTGACTTCTTCTTGTTGCTGAGAGGCTACATTTGTTTAGAACCTCTCTCGTCCGTCTTTGGCATGACTTGCTTGGGCTTCAGCCTGCTGGTGCTCGACTTCGCGAACATTGACTCCTCAACGTTCTCGAGGCACTTCTTAAGGGCGGACTTCGTGCTGTTTGTCTATGGCGTTGCAAAGATCGACTCGCTCTTGTTGATCTTGGACCACGTGCAACTGGACTTCTTCTTGTTGCTGCAAGGATCCTTGAGGGCTGACCTGCTGCTATCCGTTTATGGAGTCGCTTGCTTGGAATTCTTCATGCCTATTCTGGACTTTGTTCATCCGGACTTGACACCATTGCTGAGGTCCTTCATGCGATCAGGGCCTGTGACTCTGGTCTATGGCATGGCATGCATGGGCTTCTCACTTTCAGTGCTGGACATTGGACACTTGGGCTTGCCTCCGCCGATGAGAGCCTCTTGCCACCCAGGATCGGCTCTCTTGGTGTTCGGCATGACGTGCCTGGAGCTACTCTTGTCAACCCTTGATCATATCCATTCAGACTCCTCCATGCTACTGCACAGCTTCGGTCGATTAGAGCTGCCGATGTCAGCCTTCGGCATGGCACGTTTAGACCCCTCCTTCTCGGTGTTGGACCTTATGAACTGCGGTAGTAGCATCTCAATCAGGACCTGGTCAAAGCTTGGCTCCTCCTCGTCGGTCTACGGCCTCACGCTGCTCGAAAGCTCGTCACCCATTTTGGATCTCATCACCATCGGCTCGTCGCTCTCGTTGAGGGCTCATGCCCGGCTGGGAAGCGTCTTGTTGGTCTTTGGCATGACATGCTCGGGCTTTTTGTCGTCGACCTTGGACTTTGCTCAAATGAACTTCTTGCCGTTCACCCGTAGCTTTGTGTGTTTGGAGTTGCTGCCGTTGGTCTTCGGCTTGGCCCGCTTGGGGCTCTTCATGTTGGTGCTGGATTGTATACAGGCGGGATTCTCCTTACTGCTTCGGACGCTTGCCAGGATTGAGTCGATGTTGTTGGCATATGGCATGGTCCGGTCAGAGAGTTTGTTGTCAGTACTTGACCCTATCAAGACTGACCTGTTGCTGCCCCTGCACAGTTATGCCTAGTTGGGTTTGTTCTTGTTGCCTTATGGCATGTGTCGCCTCGGGCTCTCGCTGTCCATCTCGGACTCGGTGCATTTGGAGTCTCTTTTGTCGCTGCGAGGATTCTTGCAACTTGGTCTGGCCCTCTTGGCATTCGGCTTGTCATGGCCGGGCTCCTCGGTGTTGGTGCTGGACTTCATTCATTTGGAGAGCTCCTTGTCCTTGCGATCACACTTCTACACTGGTCTTCCCCTGCCGCCCTACGGCATCGCTTGCATGGAAAGTAGCTTGTTGATTTTGGACTTCATACATACCGAACCCTTTTTGCCAACCAGAAGCCCTGCTCGAGTGGAGCTCTCCCTGTTGGTCTATGGCCTGAGTTGGCCTGAATCGCTACTTTTCATCTTGGACCCAGTAGACACAGGATTCCTCTTGTCTTTGCACACGCTTGCTTGGGCTGGCTTGATGCTTTCCGCCTACGGTGTGTGCTGTTTGGGTTTCATTTCGTTGGTTTTGGACTTCACAGAGTCTGACTCGACCTTTTTGCTGCAAAGCTTTGCTCATTTGGGCTTCTTGTTTTTGGCTTATGGCGTGTCCCTATCAGACTTCCCGATGTCAGTCCTTGACCACCTGCACCTGGGCTTGTCACCTTTGCTTCAATCATGCACGCACCTTGGCTCCTTGTCGCTGGTCTATGGAATGGTCTGTATGGAATTGATCTTATCGACATTGGACTCTATCCATACGAGCTCCTCCCTGCTCCCCCGAGGCTTCATGTACTTAGGCCTCGCCTCGTTGGCCTATGGCGTCTCAAATCTGGAGTCGATCCCATTGGTCTTGGACTTCCTCAACTCAGGCTTGATGCTTCCATCGAGGGCTTCCCTCTACTTAGGCTCCAGCTCATTGGCCTTCGGCCTTTCACGCCCGGACTTGAGCGTTTTGGCACTGGATCTTGTGAACATTGGATCGCCGATGTTCTTGAAGAGCCTCATGTGAATGGGCAGCTTTCCTTTGGCCTATGGATGTGTTTGCACAGGCTTCTCCTTGTTGGCGTTAGATCTTATCAACCTGGGCTCCACCATGCTTTTGCGCAGCCCCTTGCACCTGGGCTTCAGCTTGTTCGTCTATGGGGTCAGCACGTTGGGGTCACCACTGTCTGCTTCGGACCCTCTGAACTTCGGACCTGCTTTGTTGTCGCAAAGTCTTGCATACTTGGACTCATCCTCATCAGCCTTTGGCATGGCCTGCTTAGGGTTCTTGCCTTCTGTGTTGGACCACAGCATCTTTGGAAGCTTCATGTTCTTGCAAAGCTTCCTGCGTGTGGGCCTGACTCTTTTCGCATATGGTCTGTCATGCTTGGGCCCTTTCTCATTGCCCTTAGACATGGCGAACCTTGGTTCAGCGCTCCTGTCACAAAGCTCCTTGTGGATGGGTCCTTTTTCATCGGTCTTCGGCATGACGTGGCCAGACTTCCTGATGTTGGCTTCGGATCATTTGCACCTTGAGCTCTTCTTGTCCCTGCATAGCTTTCTGCGGGCGGACTCGCTGCTGTTGGTCTATGGCATGGTGTGCTTGGGCCCTTTACCATCTTCGCTGGACCTCATCCACTTGGGTTTCAGTTCGCCACCACAAACCTTCGGTTGCTTTGGTCCCTTGTCGTCCACCTATGGGCTAACGCTCTTGGGACTCACCACGTTGCTCTTGGACCTTTTACACTTGGGCCCATCTCTGTTTCTTCGAGCCCTTGCTCGCTTGGGCTTCTCGACGTTGGCTTATGGCATGTCCAAGTCGGACTTCCCGCTGCTGATGCTTGACCATGCAAACTTAGATTCCACGCTCTCCCTGCGATCGTCCATTTGAACAGAGCTCTTGTTATCCGCCTATGGCATGTGTTGCTTGGGACTTTTCTTGTTGGCCTTGGATGTCAGCAATCTGGGCTTCAGCCTGTCTTTGAAGAGTTCTGTATGGCTGGACTCGAGTCTCCTGGTCTTTGGCGTCTGCCGACCCGATCCTCTCTTGTTGGCTTTAGATTTGGTGCAAACTGACTTCTTCATGTTCTTGAGAAGCTTTGCGTATCCAGACTTCTCTTTGTTGGCCTCTGGCGTCTCATGTCTCGGATCTTCCTTGTTGGCTTTAGACCCCATTAGCTCGGAGAGCTTGCTGTTGATCCGCGGCCTCGTGTACTTGGACTCCTCTCCGCCGGTCTATGGGCTCAGTTGCACGGGACTCTCGCTCCTGGTGCTGGATTTCGTGAACTTGGACCTGACGCTGTTGCCCAGGTCCTTCATGCGACTCGACTTCGTCTTGTCCGTCTCTGGTATGGCCCGCCTTGAACCCTTTCCACCTCCCTTGGACCTTTCCTCTTCGGACTTGACCCTTTTCGCCAGAAGCACGGCTTAACCGGACCCCGCACTCTTGGTCTATGGCATGACGTTCATGGACTTCCCCTTGTCTTCGTTGGACTTGGTGCACATGGGCTTCTCCTCGTCCTCGCGGTCCTCCGCACGCTTAGAGCTCTTGTCGTTCGCCTACGGGCTCTGTCGCCTGGAGTCGTCGTCGTTGGCCTTAGACTCTGGGTGCTCAGGGTCCAGTTCATTACTGCGGAGTTCCTTGCGCTTGGATTCGAGCCTCCTGGCCTATGGCTTGCTGCGACTGGGATTGTTGCTCTTGTGCTTGGACTACAGTGCTCTGGAACCAATGCCGTTCTTGAGAAGTTCCATGCGACTGGACAGCTTCTTGTTGGCTTTTGGTCTGGTCTGTTTGGGCCTCACGACGTTGCTTCTGGACCTTGCAAACACTGAGCTCTTCTTGTTTTCGCGTAGCTTTTGCTGTTCAGAGCTCTCTCTATCCGCCTACGGACTCTCCCAACCTGAGTTGCCACCACTGATCCCGGACTCGATGCACCTCGACTCCCCGACGCTCTTGCAAAGCCTCGCTTGACCAGACTTGGTCTTGTTGGTCTACGGCATGTGTCGCACGGGCTCCTCCTCATCAGCTTTGGACTCTATCCAGTTAGGATCCTTGCCGTCACCTCGCAGCTCCCTTCACCCTGGGCTTCCATTGTTGGTCTATGGACTCATGTGCTCAGAACTCTTGCTGCTGCCCTTGGACTTCGCACACTTGGGCAGCGTGATGTTTTTGCATGGTTTCTTATGTTCGGGCTTTGCGCTCTTGGTCTTCGGTTTAAGCTGCCCTGAATTCCTGCTGCTCCTCTTGGATTTCGCACACGCCGGCCCTTCATCGTCGCCCCGGAGCCTCATGTGTTTGGGCAGTGCGATGCCCGCGTTTGGACTGGCACGACCCGAGCCAAGCTCGTCCACCTTGGACTTTGCCTGCGCAGACTTCTTCTTTTCGGCTCGATCACTTGTGCATCTTGGATTGCTGCTGTTGGTTTATGGTTTCACCAAGATGGACTTCGTGTTGCCGATCCTGGATCATGTCCACATTGGTTTTTTCATGCCCTTGCAGGCTCTCTGCCATCTGGAGCTCATGTCATTGACATTCGGCTTCACACGTCTGGACCTGTCCTTGTTGGTTTTGGACTCCGGACATTTTGACTCGCTGCCTTCCTTGCGAAGCTATGTGTGCACTGGCTCATCGGTCTTCGCCTACGGCTTGTGTCGATTGGGCTTCCCCTTGCCAGTGCTGGACCTTGTACACTTGGAGCTCTTCTTGCTTCTGCAAGTATCTTCGCACTTCGACTTCCTTCTATCGCTCTATGGCATGACATGCTCAGGCCTGACCCTGCCCTTGCTCGACTTGGCACATTTGGGCAGCCCGATGTTCATGAGAAGCTACTGCAAGGCTGGCTCCCTTTTGCCAGTCTATGGCATCATGTGGATGGGACCCCCGCCTTTTACTCTGGACCTCATGAACACTGACCTCTCCCTGCTGTCACGGAGCTCCATTTACCTCGACTTTTCGCTCCTTGCTTATGGCGCATCGCGACTTGGAAGTACACCTTTCGCCCTGGACTCTATCCATGTAGGCCCTTTGCTGTTCTCGCACTCCCTTTGTCATCCGGGCCCTATCTTGCCAGCCTTTGGCATGGTGAGATTAGCGCTGATGATGTCGGTGTCGGATTCTATTCATGTGGGTTTCAGCTCGTTTCCACGAAGCTTTGCCTGCTCGGAGTTCCTTTTGTCGGCCTTTGGCTTGTCATGGCCCGGATTTTCTCCTCTGGCATTGGATCATGTGAACCTAGGCCTTGCACCCTCCTTGCAAGGCTTTACCCAATTTGGCTTTTTCCTGCTCGCCTTTGGAATCAATTGCCTGGGTTCCAGCTTGTTCGCACTGGATTCTGTCAGCCTGGAGTTGCCCCTCTTCTTGCAAAGCTACATGTATCTTGAGCTCTTACCTTTGGTTTTTGGATTGACTCGGCTGGACTTCTTGACGTCCCCTTTGGACCCTACTGTATTGGACTCGATGCTTCCAATCCAAAGCTTCACTTACTTGGGCTCCTCCCCTTCGGTCTCCGGTCTGAGCCGCATGGGTTTCCCGCCGTCCCCGTTGGATCTCGCGGTGGTGGACTTCATGCTGTCGCCACAGTCCTTCGCGCGACTGGGCTCGAGCTCGTCGGTCTTTGGCTTGAGTAGGTTGGGCCTCTCCTCGTCCCTGTTGGATCACACCTGCTTGGACTTCTTGCTCTTGGTGCAAAGCTTCCTGTGCTTAGAGTTGCTACCGTTGGTCTATGGCATTGTGCGCATAGGCTTCTTCTTGCTGGCGCTGGATTTGGTGCATATAGACTTCGTCGCTTGGAGGGCACTTGGAGGGCAGCGGGAATGAGCTGGTGTGGAGAGGAGAGTGAGATGGAAGGGAAGGGGGCGGAGGGAGGGGTTTTCCCCCACCTGTCACACCCTACACAGCACGGTTCACCTTTATTTTCCAGGGAAACTGGTTGGAGGCCATCGCTCTTAGGTTGGAGGCCATGAGTAGGTCCCGGGGTAACTGGCACCAGGCCACCGAAAACCCGGCACCAATCAGGGCGGCACGTGGTCAGAAGGGTCAGTCACTCGCAACCGGGACCCTGATGGATTGGTCTTTCCCAGAACTTCCTTTTGGAAGTAGCTGGACCCTCCAAAGTACCTTAGAAAATGGGACATGACCCCTTAAAAACAGGTACTTGTACCCTTTTTCCGAGGTAGTTTGAGACTCTAGGTAGAATGAGTCAATGATGCCCAACATGAATTTGGGAGTATACCCAAAATGAAGACTGGAATGAGTCAAACCAATCCAAAATGATCTTCCAATCAAGAATACCCAGCATGAATTTGGGAGTATAAACCATGTTGGGTTCCCAGAACTTCCCGTTTTGACTCCTGAGTTCTTTACCATACTGGTAGTGAATGAGCCACAATCCAGGCCGGGGTATGAAACGTGCTGTTCGTCGGTCGTTTCGGTCGTTTCGGTCGTTTTCCCAGCGGTTTGGTGGGACGGTGAGTTTTTCAGAGCCTGGCCATGGAAGCAAATCATGGAAGTGGACACTAGGCCACTGGTGCTGACCATCTTTCTAGCTTGAGGGCCCCTACCCGCAAAAGCGAGCTGAAAGCCGCCCGCCACATGGGTCCCCTACAAATGAAATAGACGACTTCCACCAGGACCCACAGAGTTTGGGTAGGTTATGGACACCCCAATCACCACGGTCTTGGCACCGTCCAATCACCACCCGAACTCCGTGGTGGCATTGTCCATTCTGAACATCGTCCATTTGGGGGTCCTGTGGGACCTCTCCACCACGGTCCCTCCTCTCAGGTGCTTTCCTTGCGAAGCCTTGCGCACCTGGGCCTCGTGCCGTTGGCCTACGGACTCAGCCGTCTCGGCTTCTCCTCGTCGACCTTGGACCACGTCTCCATCGACCCTGCGCCGTCGTTGCATGGCTTGGCATGGTGCGAGCTGTCGATGTCCATGTACGGAATGAGTCATTTGGACCTGCCCATGTTCGTCTCGGACCTCACCTGCATGGGTTTCTCGGCCTTGCTCAGATCTTCCATCCACTTGGACTTCCCTCTTTTGGCCTATGGCGTCACCCGTCTCGGTCCCTCATCGTTGCTTCTGGACCTTTCAACTTCGGACTTCTCCCTGTTGATGCGGTCCTTTGTATGCTCAGACTCCGCCATGTCGGTCTTTGGCATGCTGAAGCCAGACTTGCTGATGCTGCTCTTGGACCTTGCATGCTTGGGCTCGAGCCTACTCATGAGATCCTTCTTGCGGTCGGACCTCTCCTCGTTGATTTTTGGGCTGACATGGTTGGGCCCTTTCTTGCCTGTCTTGGATCTCGCCCAGATGGGGAGCATTTTGTTCACCAGGAGTCTTACATGCCTTGGCCTCCTGCTTTTTGCGTTCGGCTTAACCAGGTCAGATTCTTTACTGCCAGTCTTGGACTTTGTCCACTTGGACTTATTCATATCTCTCAGGGCACCCGCTCGCTTCGATTTCCTTTTGTCCATCTATGGCCTGTCATGTTTGGGGCCACTACTACTGGTCTTGGATTCCATTCACCTTGGCTTTCCTTCGCCCTTGCGTTCTCTTGTCTGTTCTGGACCCTCCTCGCTGATCTTTGGAATGTGTTGCTTGGGGTCAAGCTTGCCGGTGTTGGATTTTGTGGCCATGGGCTTGAGTCTGCCTTTACGAACCCTCATTTGCTTAGGCCTGATGATGCTGGCTTATGGGATTGCCTGGCTTGACTTGAGCATTTCAGTCTTGGACTATGTGCACCTGGAGTCTAGCATGCCACTGCAAGGATATACACGCTTTGACCTGGTTGTGTTCATGTATGGATGTGCTTGCTTAGACTTTCTGCTGCCAATGCTGGACTTTGTCCACTCAGGCTTGTCTACTTTGTCGAGGTCACTCGTGCAAATAGGCCTGATGATGTTGGTTTATGGAATGACATGGCTCGACTCCACCCCACCCGCACTGGACTTCGTCACGATGGACTCGCCCTCCTCACCGCGGAACTTCGCCCGGCCCGACTCCACGTCCTTGACCTTCGGACTGGCGCGGTCTGGCTTGTTCTCGTTGGTGCTGGACAACCACCTGCTGGGCTCCTCGCCGTCCTTGCGAGGCTCCGGACGGATGAGCTCGACGCTTCTGGTGTCAGGCCTGGTGTGCTTCGAGTCCTCCTTTTCCACGTTGGACTTCTCAGGTTTGGACTTGCCGTTGTTTATGCGCTCACACGGATGTTTAGACTTCACCTTGTTGGTCTTCGGAACGGCTTGCTTCGGCTTGGTTCCGTTGATTTGTGACCACTTGCAGCTGGACTTCTTGCCTTTCCTACGAAGCTTAGGATGCATCGGATTGCCGTCCTCCGCGGTCGGACAAGGGCGCATGGAGCTCTCGTCGTCCGTCTTTGACTTCCTGCACCTGGGCTCCTTGACGTCGACGCGCTGCAATGCACGCTCGGGCTTCTCCTCGTTGGTGTTTGGCAGAGGTCGGTCCGATTCCTTGGTGCTGGTGCTGGATCTTGCCCATGCCGAGCCTCTCATGCCCATCCGCAGCTTTGGACGACCAGGCTTTTTGATGTCGGTGTCCAGACTGGCGCGGTCTGAGTTGCGCATGCTAGTCTTTGATTTGGCTCATTTTGAGTCCCTCTTACCGCTGCAAGCCGCCGGACATTCGGACTTCTTCTTTTTGACCTCTGGAAGGGCCAGCTTTGAATTCATGACTTTTGCTCTGGACTCCGCCTACTTCGAACTCTTCCCTTCTCTCAGGTCTTCCTGTCGCATGGGAAGCATCCCATCCATCTTCGGAATGACTTGCTCTGGGCCTTTGGTTTCCACCTTGGACTACCAAGAGGTGGGCTTGTCCTTGTCCATTCGCAGCCATGAATGTTCAGGTTCCTCTTCATCGATCTCCGGCCTCGTCCGCGCGGGCTTCCCGACGCCTTCATCAGATTCTTCCCACTTGGGCCTGTCGCTCTCCTCGCGCAGCTCGTTCCGCGGGGGGTCCTCCGTGTTGCTCTTCGGGCTCTGTCGCATGGGCTCCTTGCCATCCATCTTGGACCCAGCACACCTGGAGCCGACGACGTCCTTGAGGAGCACGGTCTGCTTGGGATCGGCATCGTTGGTCTTTGGCTTGGGATGCTTCGGCTTCAGCTCGTTGGCCTTGGACCTTGCACTCTTCGACTTCGTGGTATTCGTTCGCTCCTTTGCTCGCATGGGCTTCGTGCTGTTGGTGTATGGAATGACCCGCTTGGGCTTCAGCTTGCTTGTGCTGGACCTCGCGACCATCGAACTCGTCTTGTTCTTGAAAAGCTTTGCTCGTTCAGGATTGGCCTCCTTGGTCTCAGGGACTCTGCGATTTGACCTTGTCATGCCAATGTTGGACCATTTGCAATCAGACTCGCCAGCGCCCTTGAGGAGTCTTGGTCATTATGGCTTCTTGCTGCCTTCATTTCAGCTGGGACGCTCTGAATTCTCGATGCCCATCTTCGACTTCTTGACCTTAGGCTTGCCGACATCCCCTCGAACGAACCAGCGCACGGGCTTGTTGGCATCGACTTCTGGCATCTCGTGCTCCGAGCTACTGCTGTTGGTCTCTGACCTCGTGCACATGGACTCAGCGTCATTCTCCCGTGACCATGGCCGTTCAGGCTCAGCACCCTTCGCCTTTGGCCTCGCACGCTTCGGCCTCAGCTCATCGGTCTTGGATGCGGCGATTTCGGGTTCTGCGCCGTCGGTGAGGTCCTTGGTGCGGATGGGTTTGCCATCGCTGATCTTTGACTTTGCATCTTTGGGGCTCTTGCTGTTGATGCGAAGCTTTGCTTGCATGGACTTGGCCTTGTTGATCTTTCAGATCGTAAGGCTCGGATTCCAAGTGCCCATCTTGGATTGTGCCCACATCGAGTTATTCTTGTTGACCAGGAGCTTTGCATAACTGGACTTGGCATTCTTGACTTTTGGTCTCGGCTGCTTAGGTCTTTTCGCACCTTCGTTAGATTGCTTGAATGTCGGTTTCACCTTTCCTGCTCGAGGCATAGGGCGTGTTGGCTTGGCATTCTTCATTTTTGGTGCGATGCGCCTGGAATTCTTGACTTCCGCCTTTGATGCCGTCAGATTGGGCCTGTCTTTGTTCTCACAAAGCCTTGCACAGCTGGGCTTTGCTGTATCGGCCTTTGGACTGGGTTGAACGGAGAGTTTGGTGTTGCTCTTGGATTTCGCGCATGCGGAATTCTTCTTGTTCTTGAGATCCTTTGGACACTTAGGCTTAGTGGCACTTTCCTTTGGCCTTGGTTGTTCCGAGTTTCCACCGCTTTTGTTGGACTGTGCAGCTCCAGGCTCCCTCCTACCCTTACACAGCTCCGCTCAACTCGAAAGCACCACATCGGCCTTCGGCATCGGGCGCTCTGGGTCGTCCGCCTCGGCCTTGGACCTTACGAATTTGGGATTGGCCTCCTTCATGCGAAGTCATGGATGTCCAGGAAGCACTTCGTTCGCCTTCGGCTGTGCTTGCTCCGAGTTCTTGCCTTTGGCGCTGGACCTAGTCGAATTGGGACCCTTTCCGCTGCTCCAAAGCATGGCATGCCTGGGCTCCATGCCTTCGGCCATGGGCCTGGCGCGCTCTGGACCGTTCTCGTCGGCGTTGGACCTCACGCACTTTGGAAGCGCCTCGTCGGTGCGGATGCCTGGGCGCTCTGAGTTGGCAGTGCTTGTGACGAGCTGCTCCAGATTTGGTTTTCCCTTGTCGGTCTTGGACTTTTTGCATCTGGACTTCTTGATGTCTTTACAAGCATTCGCTTGTTCAGGTCTTTCCATGCCAGCCTTCTCGTCCACGCGGCTAGACTCTTCTTCGTCTTTGTCGGATGCCATCACCGTTGGCTCTGCGCTGTTCTTGCAATCTTCCCTGCAAGTAGGTCCTGCCTCGTTCATCCTGAGCTGCACACGCTTCGCTTTCTTCTCGTTGGCGCCGGACCATGCGATGCTAGAGCCCTCCTCGCCGGTGCACAGCTTTGCTCATTCCGGCTCAGCACTGTTGGCCTCAGACTTCTTGCATCCAGGCTTGATGCTGTTGGCCAAGAGTATGGGACGAATGGACTTCTTCATGTCTATCTGTGGCTTGGCATGCTCAGGCTTCTTCTTGTTCGCCTTAGACCTCTTACACTCAGAGCTCTTCTTGTCCGTGCGCTCCTTTGCACACTTGGGTTTCAACCCACCGGCGCTGGACCTTTTGCACTTAGACCTCTCCTCCTTGGCCCGTTGCTTCGGCCGCTCTGGCTCCATGCTGTCGGCCTCCGGGCTGGCGCGGTTCGGCTCCACGGCATCGGTGCCGGACTCCTCGCACCCGGACTTCACGTCGTCCCTACGCAGTCCGGGACGGCCGGGAAGCTCGTCGTCCACCTTCGACGTCGCGCGCTTTGAGTTCTTGGCTTCGGCCTTGGACTTCTTGCACTTGGACTCGGCGTCGTCGTCGCGGTCGCCTGCGAGGCCGGGGTCGGCCTTCTTGGTCTTCAAGAAAGTCCAATTTGACTCGCCCCCATTGATCCTTGATCCTGTTCACATTGGACCACTTCTATTGACTCAAAGCTTTTGTCGATTCGACTTTCCGATGTTTACCATGGACCTCTTGAACCTCGACTTTTCGCCATCCACACAAAGCCTTGCACGAATGGGGCCGGTGACGTTTGTGCTGGATTTCCTTCATTCAGACTCCACGATTTTGACGCGAAGCCTTGCATGGTTTGGTTTGACCCTCTCTTTACAAAGCCTTGCTTACACTGACTTTGCCTTCTTGATTCACCAGCCGATGCGTTTGGACCTGTTGCCGTTTGCCTTGGATCTCGGGGTTTTGGAACCCTCGCTCTTTGCAAGAAGCTTTGCTTGCTTAGACCTCGCGGTCTCTGTCCTGGACCTCTTGCATCTGGGCTTGTCCTTGTTGGTCCAAGGCGCTGCACGCTCGGGCTCGGTGTTTTCGGTCTGGAGCATCACTCGCTTGGAGTCCTGTCTGCCCGTCTTGGACCGCGCGGCCTTTGGCTCCTCGTCGCCGTCGCGGAGCTCCGCACGCTTGGAGAGCAGCTCTTCGATTTTTGGGAAGTCGCATCTGGGCTTCTCGCTCCTGATCTTGGATCTGGTCCACTTGGGATTCGTGGCGCTGCTCAAGAGCTTCGGACACCCGGGCCCGGGCTCGTCGATTTTTGGGGGGCACCCGCATCGACTCGTGCCTGTTGGTCTTGGATTATTTGCAGTTGGACTCGGGCTCATTGCTGCAAAGCCTTGCGTGCGTGGACTTGGCTGCCTTGGTCTTGGACTACTTGCGGCTGGGCTTGTCCACGCTTTTGCGATGTCATGGCTAAGTGGACTTGGCCTTTTTGGTGGGTGGAATCACATGCTTGGGCTCCTCGCCGTTTCTACTGGATTTCGCTCAATTGGGTTTTGCCTTGCCAGCACGTAGCTCCGTTCGCCCGGACAGCTCCTTGTCGATTTTTGACCCTACGAAGCTGGAACTGACCGTCTTATTGAAGAGTTTTACTCAGTTTGACCTCACAGCATTGCTCTTCTCTTGTGCACGCTTTGGCTTTTGCTTGCTGGTTCTTGACGCCACACAGCTGGAGTTCTCCCTGTCGCCGAAAAGCCTTCAACGCTTGGGACCCAGCTCCTTGGTCTTCAGCTCGACGCGACCGGGGTTCACACAGCCTCTGCTGGACTTGGCGGTCTTAGACTTCCTGCTGCCAGTACGAAGCCTCGTGCGTCTGGAGCTCAGCCTGTTAGCCTTGGATCTCACCCACTCTGATCCAACCGTATCAATTCGATCTGTGGCACAAGTCGGTTCCTACTTATCGACTTGGGGCTTAGCCTGTTTTGATCTCACGGCCTTCGCCTTTGACGCCTACCACGTCGGCCTCTCCTTGTCGCCCCGCAGCTCTGCACGCTCGGGCTTGGCCACGCTGGTGGTGGGCGTGGTGAAGTTCGGCCTCACACTTCCTGCGCTGGACGGCGTCAGCATGGGCTCGTCGTCGTCGGCCCGGAGCATGGTACGCCCTGGCTCGGCCTTGTTGTCGTTGGATCTCTTCCGGCTGGGCTTCTTGTCATCCTTGAGGTCATATGCTCACTTGGGCTTCATGTTGCTGGTCTTCTCGCAGACCCGACTCGCACCCTCCCTCTTGGTGTTGGACCTCGTGACTTTGGACTTGCCGCTCCCGGTACGGAGCCACGTGAGGTCCGGCTTGGCCATGTTGGTTTCGGACCATGTCTGCTTCGGCTCCTTGCCATCACTTCGGTCTGTTGCATGTTTGGGCTTGGCCACCTCGACCTTCCAACGGGCGCGCTATGACTCGTCAGCTTCGGCGCTGGATCCTTTGAACTCGGGGCTCTTCTTGTTGGTTCGAGCTCTAAACCAACTAGGTTTTCTGATGTTGCTCTTTGGCGTTGCTCGACCGGGATTGATGCTTTTCCTCTTTGATTTCGGGCTGGTGGAGTTGTTGCTGTCCACTCGAAGCTCTGGGAGGTCGGACTTGTGCCTTTTACTCTTTGGAGCCATGCGAGTAGATCTGAGGTTATTGGTTCTGGACTTTGCAGGCTTCGAGTCCACCCTGTCAATTCGATCCCTTGCACACTTAGGCTTCACCTTCTCGGCATCTTGCATGGGTACTTCTGACTTCTTCTTGTTTGTGTTGGACTTCCTGCACTCGGGACTGATGCTGTTCCTGAGATCCTTTGGGCAGCTAGAGTCGACATTTTTCACTTTCAGCAGATCTCGTTTGGACTTTTCTCCTTTGGCGCCTGACTGCATCGACCCTGGCCCCTCAGTATCTCTGCACAGTTTGGCCGACTTTGGCTCAGCCATTCCACTCTTCGGGCTGGCGCGCTTCGAGCTGTTGTCATTGGCTCCGGACATGGTAGAAGTGGGCTTCGCCCTGTTTCTCCAAGGCCTTGGATGTCTGGACTCCGCCTCCTTGACCTCTGGATTCACTCATCTGGGCTCTCTCTTGCTGGTCTCAGACATGTCTGATTTCGACTCCACCTCCTTCGCCCGATCCATGGCGCGCTTCGGCTCAACGTCGTTGACCTTTGGCTTCGTGAAGCCTGGCTTCGTGACGTCGGTCTTGGACTGCACGGAGCTCGATTCCCTGCTGCCTTTGAGGTCCTTTGGACATATCGATTTGATCTTGTCGGCCTTTAGTCTGTCACGTTTCGATTTCTTGCCCCCGGCCTTTGACTGCTTGAGCTTGGGCTCCATCTTGTTCTTGCAAGGCCTGGCGCGACTAGGCTTGGCCTTCTTGATCTTCGGCTCCACGCGTGTAGATTTCATCCTGTTGGTCTTGGACTGCGCCATCATGGACAGCTCGATGCTGGCACGCTCCTTGGCACGTCTGGGCTTCGCCTCCTCGATCTTTGGCATAGCCCGCCTAGGCCTCTCAACATCCATCTTCGACTTCATCAGCGTTGGCTTGAGCGCCTCACTGAGGAGTATGGGACTGTTTGGTAGCTCCATGTTAGTCTTTGGCACTGCCTCCTTTGGCTTTTCTTCATCGATTTTGGATGCCTCTTGCCTTGAGCCTTTACTGTCGCTGCATTCGATGGGCCATTTGGCATTGGCCTTGTTACTCTTCGGATGTGGACGAACGGAACCCTTGTCGCTGGCACTGGACCCCTTGCATTTGGGCTTGCTCTTGTTCATGAAGGGCTTCGCGCGCATGGGCTTAAGCTCCTTGTCGTTTGGCGCTGGACGTCTGGGCTCTTTCTCGTTGGTCTTCGATTGCGCCAGCTTGGGCTTCTTCTCGCTGCTGCACAGTACTGGGCAACTGGGATTTCTATTGTCGGTCTTTGGGATAGCCCGTAAGGGCGAAGGAACACTCCCCATCTTAGACTACCTCAATCTGGGCCCCTCTTTCCTGCTGAGAAGTTACGGGCAAGTGGACTTGGCCCTGCTGGTCTTTGGATTAACTTGCTTGGGATTGATCTTATCGACTTTTGACTGCAGCTTACTGGAACTGTCCCTGTTCCTGAGATCACTCACATACTTGGACTTGATCATGCCAGTCTTCCGCTTTAGCAGCACGGGGTCTCCAGCTCCGGTCTTGGACTTCTTGCACCTGGGCCTGTGCATTTCCTTGCACAGCCATGCTCAAGCAGGATTGATGCCTTCGGCCTTTGGCAAGATTTGTTTGGGATCTTCAACTTTGGTGCTTGACATGGTGACATTAGACTTCGTCCTGTCCCTCCACAGCCTCACAGCACTTGAGCCGATGATGTCCTTGTTTGGCATGGCATGTTTTGGTTTAGGGCTTTCAGTCTCGGATTGCAATCTGTTGGGATTTTTTCCGTTCCCGCACAGCATGGCTTACCTGGACTCCGCACCCTTGGTCTTTGACAGGGTGAAGCTTGAGTTGGCCTCGTTGGCATTGGACCTTGAAAATCTGGGCTCCCCGTTCTTCTTGCACTCCCTTGCCCGCTTGGGCCTCACCATCTTGACCTTCAGTTTGGTTGAGCCTGGCTCCATCATATCAGTTCTGGACTTGGTGTCCTTGAGCTCCTTGCCTTTAGTGCAAAGCCTTGTTTGCTCAGATCCATTGTCTTCGGTTTCGGACGTGTCCAAGCTCGAACTTCCCTCGTCGTCACACAGCTCCCTGCACCTGGGCTTCACCCCGCCCGCCTTCGACGCCGTACGCTTGGGTTCGCCCTTCCTGGCGTTGGACCTTGCATTGCTGGGCTCAGCGTCGTCGACCCGCTCCTGGGCGCGCTTGGGCTTCACCTCCTTGGCCTTCGGTTGGGCGCGCTTCGGCTTCAACCCCTCGGTCCAGAGCTTTGCCAAGCTGGGATTCTTCCTGTCGGCCTTCAGTCGAGTCAGCTTTGAACTCTCCTTGTTGGCCTTGGACTTTGCACATCTAGAACTCTTCTTGTTGCTGAAGAGTCTTGCCTACATGGACTTGGCATTGTTCATTTTGGACTGGCTGCAATTGGGCTTAACATCGCTTTTAAGAAGCTTTACACGACCCGACTCGTCGCCTTTGACCTTCAGCGTGCCCCGCATGGAGTTGTCCATGTCGGTGCTGGATCTTTTGCATCTGGAATCCATGACATCAGCCAGATGCAGTTCTTACATGGGTTTCTCCTTGTTGATGTTTGGCAGGTGCTGCTTCGAACCCTCTTCCTTTGCCTTAGACTACTTGCAGTCGGGCTTTCTGACTTCAGTCCAAGGATATGTGTGATCTGATTCAGCCATTCCAGTGCTTTCGAGAGTATTCTTGGAGTTCTCCATGTTTGCCTTGGATCCTGTCACCCTAGGCCTTCCATCGTTGGTGCGATCGCCCGTGCGCACGGACTCTCCACTCTTCGTCCTGAATCCCGTCCGTCCGGACCTCATGCCGTCCATCAGAAGCATGACTTGCTCGGGCTCCGCACCCTTCGCGTGCGCTCGCTGCACCTTTGAGTCCTCAGCTTCAGTACTGGACCCTTTGTACTTGGAACCCTTGATGCCCGTCAGGGGCCATAGTTGCTTGGGATTCACGATGTTGGCCTTCTCCTTGGCACGTTTCGACTTGTTACCTTTCACCTTGGACCTCGGTGCTTTCGACTCGGTCCTGCCAGTACGATCCATGGGACGCTTAGGCTTCCTTCTGTTCCTCTTCAGCACTTCGCGCTTCGGCTCAGCGACTTCGGCCTCGGACCTTCTGAATCTGGGCTTCTTGCTGTTGGCTCAAAGCCTTTTACATTTGGGATCCGCTCTGTTGGTCTTCTCTCGCAGCAGGTGCGGTTCTTCTCTCTTAGTGCTGGACTTTTTGAATCTCGACAGTTTCCTGTTGGTGCGCTCCTTCGTGCGGGCAGAGCTCATGTTGCTAGTCTCCGACTTTGGACACATTGGCCTGTCGCTGCCGATCCGCAGCATGTCTTGTCCTGGTTTGACCTCCTCAGTCTTTAGCACGGCTTGGATGGGCTTCTCCTTTCCAGTCTTAGACCTTGCACAACCCGATCTGTCCCCCTTGGCGCGCAGCCTCGTTCGCTTGGGCTTGATGCCTTCCGTCTCAGACACGGTGCACTTGGACCTCTTGCCCTCCTTGCGGAGCTTTGATCGTCTGGACTTCACGCTCTTCATCTTCAAGTGCGCTCGCCCTGACAGCTCCTCGCCGGCCTCGGATCCTGTGACCTTGGGCCTCACGTTGTCCGCATGCTCGACCGTGTGTTCGGGACCGTCCTTGTCCACTTCGGACTCTACGCGTTCCGGCAGCTCGTCGTCGCTCAGGAGCTCGGCGCGCTTGGACTCCACCTCGTTGGTCTGTGGGCTGGTGTGGCTGGACTTCATGTCGTTGGTCTTGGATCACGTGGATCTGGACTTCTCCTCGTTCGTGAGAAGTATGGTATGCTTCGACTCGTTGCCTTTGGTGTTGGACTCCTTGCACCTTGAAAGCTCCTCGCTGTTGCACTCCTGGGCCAGACTGGGCCCCTCGGCCAGAGAGGATGGGGCCGCACGTCCGGGGCACGTCGGGGGCCGCACAGCACGGTACACGGGTTTTCATAGGGTTTCGGGGGGCGGCCAATTTGGTCCCCGAGAGTTCCTCAAAAAGTCTTTTGTCATCTTCCTAAGCTGCTCGTCAGAGCCTTGGGGTACCCATTCCCTGGAAGTCCCAGACGATTTTTCACATACAAAACCAGTACTCAAGGAGGTCAGGTTTAACTTGGTCTGGTCTGACTGGACTCGTAGGGTACCCTGCATCCCAACTAAAACGTGGGCAAACGTGGAACATCGTGGGCCCCTGAAAGGAAGACCAGAATTCCTCTACGCTGCAGGCTGTATTCCACTTAACCATGAGTGTTTCAAGGAGGCTACGCTCCAGTCAGTCCACTACCGACTGATCCCCCCGCGCCGGTCGTCGTCATGCCAATGGTCCCATCTCCCGTCAGGTCATGTCGATCCATAGGGAGTCGGGAGCGTAGTTCCGCGCTTCGCCTTCGGTTTTTCATCTACTTTTTTGGGGGGCTTTCTTTGGGATCTACACATGTCTTCAAAAAGCGTCGGTGTTTGGGTCGGTTTGTGTAGTTCGGTGTCATGATACATGATGATGAATCATGTACCCTGCCTAGGAGTCGAAGACGATAAAAAGAATGGTCTGACTAGTCTAGGTGACCCGAGTCAAGGAATGTCCTTCACTTGAGTCGGTCAAAATATAGTCGAACTGGACTTCTAGGGCTTGTGGGGCAAAGGACCCGAGTAGCATTGGGTCGGATGCCATGGTTCACCTGGGTGTCGTGTAGTGTGGGATTGTAGTGGGAACCTCAAAAAATTATCCCTGGCAAGAAGAACACCCAAGTTTCTGCAGATCGAGGTGTTTGACCCATGCGATTTTCACTTCCCGCCCACCAAGAAGGAGCCCTTAGCCCGAGAAGGGGCCTCTTCTTAAGGGCCTGGACCTCGACCTGGGCTGGGACACATGGCCCTCGAAAGAACGGAGAACCATGAAGTCACTCCAATATTAAGTTAAATTCATAGCTTCTAGAGTTACTATTAGTAAGGCACTTGTTACTAGTAGTAAGGCACTTGTTACTACTAGTCACTCCACTTCTACCAGGATTTGTTCTTCCGTCCGCTGGATCCGTCGGTTTCCGAGGTTCTTCCTCCTTGACCTTCAGCCAAGGGCGCCTGGACTCGTTGGTCTCGGCCCTGGACTTTCTACACCTGGGTAGCTCGGCGTTCCTGCGAGGGCACCTTCGCACGGGCTCCACGTCCTCGCCGCTGGACCTCGCGAACTTCGGCTCCACGACCTCCATGCGGAGCTTCACGCAACCGGCGCCTGCAATGTCGGCGAGCGGCACGGTATGGTCGGGGTTGATGCTGTTGGTGTTGGGGGAGCTGAAGTTAGAGTCCTCCTTGTTGATACGAAGCCTTTGCCAGCCGGACTTCATGGTGTCAGTCTTCGACTTTGCCAGATTGGGCTTCCTAGCATCCTTGCAAAGCCACCTGTGCGTGGAATTCATGATGTTCGTATTGGGAGAGACACTCTTCGACTTCTCCTTGTTGGCTTTGGATTTCTTGCATTTAGGCTTCCTCTTGCCTGTTCAAAGCCACGTACACCTTGAGCCAACAGCTTTCGCTGTGGATTTCGCCAACTTCGAACCCTTGGTTTCCATGCACACATACACACGGTGTGAATCGATGATGCTGGTCTTGGGTTTGGCTTGCTTCGGACTTCTGATGCTGGTTTTGGACTTCCAACACATTGGCTCCTTGCCGCTGATTCGGCAACTCTTGTGTACTGGCCCTTTGACTTCAACCGTTGGCATGGGCCGTTCTGACTCCAGCTTGCTTGTCTTAGACCGTGTAACTCCTGGTCCTTCCCCCTCGTTGCGCAGCATGGTATGCTTCGGCTTGGTTTCGTTGGCATTGAGATGCGCACGACTTGAGTTCTTGCTGTTTCTGTTGGACAGAGTCGAATGTGGATCATCCTTGCCCTCGAGGCACTTCGCACGCTTCAGCCTCTCTTTGTTTGTGACTGGTGTCACCTGCTTTGGTTTCAGCCTGCTGATTCCGGATCTTACTTCACTGGGCTTCAGCTTATCCTCCCAGCAATTCGTTCACTCCGGTCTCCTTGCTTCGCTCCTGGGTGCCCTCCGCACCGACTCCACGTCGCCCGCCTCGGACGCCGCGGCGCCGGACTCCTCGCTGCCGGCACGAAGCTTCGTGCGGCCAGGCTCGGTCTTGTTGGTGTCAGATCTCCTGCACTTGGACAGCTCGTCGTTGGTGCGCTCCTCCATGCGGCCAGACTTGTTGACGTCCGCCTCATCACGCGCCAGCTTTGAGTTTTCCCTTTTGATCTTGGATCTCTTCCACTTGGGCTTGGCCTCTTTCATGCGAAGCTTTGCCAAGATGGGCGGGAATCCTTTAGTGTTGGATTTCACACATTTCGGCCCATTCATGCTGCTGCAGGCGCTCTTGCGTTCAGGTCCCATCGTTTCAATTTCAGGACTCACATGCTTCGAGCCGCTTCTGTTGGTCTTAGACTCTTTGAATTTGGGCTCATTGCTTTTGGTGCAGCAGCCCACGCGGCTGGGCCTGACGCTGTCCGTCATTAGCAGAGTGACCTTTGGTAGTTGCATGTTGGTCTTGGACGTGGCTGCGATCGGCAGTTCGCTCTTCTTGAGGTCGTTCTATCACTTGGACTTCTCCACGTTCGTGGTGAACAGGGTTCATTTTGACGCAAGTTCATTGACCTTGGACTTTGCCTCCTTAGGATCATCCCTCTTGGCACAAAGCCTTGGATGTCTTGGTTCGAGCCTTTTGGTGCTCAGCACATGTCGACTTGAGCCTTCGGTGTCGGTCTTAGACCATACGACCTTGGGCTTCTCTTTGTTGGTCAGGAGTTTCGTTTGCCCCGACTCCAACTTCTTGGCCATCGATTTTGCTCGAACGGGAAGTTCCCTACTCACCAGATCCTTCTCCTGCTCGGACTTCACTGTCTTCGTGTGTGGAATGAGTTGCATTGGATTCTCAGTATTGGCCTTGGACCACTTGAGAACCGACTCCTCCACGTCCATGCGCTCCGTGGTTCACTCAGGCTTGGCCTCCTTCGCCTCCGGTCTGCTGCGCTCCGGCTCTGCGGCGCCGGCCACGGACTTCCTGCGGTCGGGTCCGGCGCCGTCCTCGCGGTCCAGCGCGCGCTCGGGTTCCGCGTCCTTGGTCTTTAGCTCGACGAAGCCAGAGCTCTTCTTGTTGGTACTGGATTCCTTACGCCTCGACTCCGCCTTGTTGGCACGATCCTCTGGGCGTTGCGGCTCAGCTTTGCTGGTCTTGGACCTCGCGCACCTGGGCTTGTCGCCCTTGCTCCGGAGCTTCGCGCGCTTGGGCTCCCTCATGTTGGTCTCGGACCTTGCACACTTGGCCTTGTTCACGTTGGCCAGGAGTTATGAACGGATTGATTCCATCTTGCTGGTCATGGGCTGTGTCCGCTTGGGCTTCATCCTGTTGACCTTGGACTATGCCGAGTTTGGTTTGACCCCTTTGCTCCGCAGCTTCTCTCGCATGGGGCTGTCGACCTTCATTCTGAACTACGTAAGGGTTGGTTCCTTTTTGCTACTCCAAAGCATGGCATGAACTGAATTGGCATTCTTGGCCTGCGGAGTGACTTGCATGGGCTTTCTCCTGCTCGTCTTAGACTTCTTGCACCCCGGTCTGGCCTTCTTGCCGCGCGATACGGCACGGATGGACCTGGCTCCGCTGTTGATGGGCATCGCGCGATCGGGTTCCATCTCACCCGTGCTGGACCTTGCGAGCTTCGGTTTGTCACTCTCCGCGCGGAGCCTCAGCCGCTTGGGCTCGCCGGTGTCGGTGCTGCACCACGTGCGCTTGGGCTTCTTCTCGTCGACTCGCAGCATGGTGCGGTCGGGGTCGACGTCGCTGATCTTTAGCATGGCCCGGATGGAGCTCATAGTACCGACTTTGGACTTCGCCAGCTACGAGTCGACCTCGTTTCTGCAAAGCTTTGGTTAGCTGGACAGTTCGATTTCTGCCTATGGGCTGAGCAGATCAGACTTCCTGTTGTTGGCTTTGGATTCTGTGCACATGGAACTACTGATGCTTCCGAAGAGCCCCTCATGACTTGATTTCTCTCCTTTGGCCTATGGCGTATCTATGTTGGGCTTCTCGCCCCCTGCCTTGGACCCCTTGTTCCCTGGCCCCACCTCGCCAACACAATCCTTTGTTCATCTGGAGCCCAATTTGCCGGTCTTTAAGGTGTCGAACTTTGGTTTGTCCTTGTCGACCTTGGATATGACTCAACTGGGATCGATGATTTCCTTGAGGAGCTTTGCAAGGCCTGGTTCCTTTTCGTCGGTTTATGGCATGTCAAAGCTGGCCTTCTTGTTGTCGGTCTTGGACTTCGTGCACATGGAACCGACTTGCTCGCCAAGGAGCTTTGCCAGACTGGGCTTCCCGTCATCCGCCTATGGGGTGACGCTCTTGGGTAGTTTCCTGCTGGCGTTGGACCATTTGCTCTTGGACTTGACCCTGTTGGTCCGATCCTTCACTTGATCTGGGTTTCCACCACCTCTGGTGAGCCGCATGAAGATTGGATCCCTATCGCCTGCTTTGGACTCCTTGCATCTAGAGCTTTTGCCGCTTTCGCAGTCGCTTGCACATCTGGGTTCTGCCTTGTTGGTCCTGGATTTTCTGCATTTGGGGTCCTTGATTTCATCGCACAGTCTCAGTTGACTCGACTCGGTGGTGCCAGCGCTGGACTTCTTGAGATCAGGATCCGTGCTATTCCTGAGAAGCCACAGTCGTCTTGATTCCATGCCGTTCATCTTCGGGAAGTCGAGACCAGAGCTTTCCTTGCTGGTGCCTGACCGGGTTCAGTTAGACTTCTCCTTATTGGCACACTCCTTCACCCGCTCGGGTTCCGCGCCTCTCGCGTCAGACTTCCTGCACTCGGGGTCCACGCCGCCCATCCGTAGCGCCACACGCATGGAGTTCACACTGCTGGCCTTCGGAAAGGCATGCTCGGAGTTCACCCTGTTGGTGTTGGACTTCGTGCCCTCAGGTCTGAGCTTGTTCTTGAGATCCTTGATTCACCTCGAATTCACCTCCTTGGTCTGTGGTCTGGTGAACTTGGAGCTCTTCCTACTGGCCTTGGACCACGTTCAATTCGGCTTGCCTCCTTCGCTGCGCAGCTCCTTGTACCCCGGCTTCTTGGTTTCCGTCTCGGACGTGGCTCACTTGGGCTTCTCCTTGTCCTTGCAAAGCCACGTTCATTTCGACTCCAGCACGTCTGTCCCGGACTTCTTGCACTTGGGCTCTTCCCTGCCATCGCGGAACTCCTGCCACTTGGGTTTCACCTTATTGGTCCCTGGCGCCGCGCGGGTGGACTTGATGCTGTTGGTCTTGGACCACACGCTCCTAGAGCCTTCCATGTCGATCAGGTCGCTTGTGCAACTGGGACCCATTCCTTCAGCGATGGATCCTGTGAGATCGGGTTCGATCATGTCCGTCCGAAGCCATGCGAAGCTTGGCTTGACCTTGTTGGTGGTTGGCTTGAACCGCCCAGGATCCGTCTCCTTGTTGCCGGTGATCGAGACCACGAATCCGGGATTCTCGCTCTTCACCAGGAGCCTCTTGTGCTGCGGAAGCACTCTGTTGGCTTTAGACTTTATTCACCTGGACAGCTCCATGTTGCTGCGATCCTTTGTTCACACGGGCTCGTGTTTGTCGGCGCTGGATCCTTTGCACCTGGGCTTCTCGCTCTTCTTGCGCGGCATGTCATGAGCGGATTCCGCCATCTCTGTACCGGACCTCTTGCATTTAGAATTTTCGATTCCCTCACACAGCCTTGCCAAGATGGGGCTTTCACTGCCAGTTCTCTCCACTTCAAGGCTAGACTTTGTGGTGTCAATTCCGGACCACACCCTCTTGGGTAGTTTTTTTGTTGGTGAGAAGCAGCTCCCGACCTGGTTCATTCCTGTTGGTCCTGAACCATGTACGTCCGGAATCCTCGACATTGCCGCGGCAGCCTGCATGACTTGACTTCACACTTCCCGTGGTGGGCTTGACGCGGATGGGTTTGGTCTTCTCGCTCTCAGTGATTGAATGCACCATTCTGGGCTCCTTCTTGCCGGCTCAAAGCCCTACAAGGCCTGGTTTCGTCATGCTGGCACTCAACTACGCGCGCCCGGGCTTCTTCATGTCGTCGAGATCTTGGGGCCGCTGTGACTTCTCCATATTCGCGATAGGCATCTTGCAGTTAGGATCCACCTTGCTGGTGCTGGACCTCGTTGAGCTTGACTTCTTGCTGTCAATCCAGAGCTCTTCATGCTTGGGCTCATCAACCTTGGCCTTAGACGTGGCGCACCTCGAACCTTTGACATCCTCGCGCAGCATGAGTTGCTTGGGCTCCCCGTCGTTGATCTTCGACACTTGCAGATTAGGAAGTACGTCATCGGTCTTGGGAGCCTTAACTCTTGAATCCTCGTCGTCCGTGCAAAGCTCTTGCAGGTTGGGTTCAACGGCTTTCGTCTCGGACTATGGGCGTTTTGGCTTGTCGACCTTCTCAAGAGCCATTTTGCGACTGGGCTTCAGCCTGTTGGTTGTGGGCTGCAGTAGACTCGAAAGTATCCTGCTGGTCTTGGATGCGGTGAACTTGGGATTCCTGCCGTTGACCCGATCCTTTGTTTGCATGGGCTTGGCGCTTTTGGTCTTGGATCTCCTTCATCCCGAACTCCTGCTGCCACCCCGAGCCATGTCACAGCCTGATTTCCCATCATCACTCATGTCAAGAAGTCGACCTGGATCAAGCCTATCAGCTCTGGACCTTCTCCACTTAGATCCGGCCTTGTTTCTACACAGCTCTGCATGCACGGGTTTGGCAGCACCAGTCTTGGACTTTTTGCATCTGGGATTCTCCACTCCTTTGCGGAGCTTTCTCTACTCAGGCTCAGCTTCATCGATCTTCTCCACTTCAAGGCTTGGGTCCTCCCTACTAGCGCTGGACTCTTTGCACTTAGAACCTTTGACTTTGATTCACAGCTTTGCCCACATGGGCTTCACCATTTCTGCATTGGATGTGGTAAACCTTGGGCCGCTCTTGTTGACCAGGAGCCTTGCTCGCTTTGGATTTAGCCTCTTGGTGTTGGACTTCCTGCACTTGGGATTCATGCCTTCCTTGCACAGTCTCATCCATTTAGGCTTCAGCTTCTTGGTCTTGAGCCGTTCGGCTTTGGGTAGCACTTCGTCCGTGCTGGATCCTTTGCATTCAGACTCCTCCTTATTCGCACGCAGCTTCACTTGCTTCGGCTCCTGCTCGTTGGCCTTGGATTCCACGCATCTCGACTCGAGCACCTCCCTCCGGAGCTTTTGCCGCCTGGACTTCATGCCGTCGGTCGTGGGCTTGAATCGTTCTGGCTCCGTCTTCTCGCCCTTGGTGATCGAATGCACTTCGCCAGGGAGTTCGCTGCTGGCGCGGAGCTCCGCATGTCTTGGCTCGGTGGCGCTGACCTTGGATCTCCTGACCTTGGGATTCTCCGTCTTCTTGAAGAGTCACATGTGCTCTGACCCGACCGTGTTCCCATGCGGACGCTTGCGCTTGGGCTTCAGCCTGTTGACTTTAGATCTCATCCAGCTCGGCTTCTTGCCCTTGTTGCGGAGTGTCGCATGCTTTGGTTCCTTCGCATTGGCCCTGGACTTCTTGCATTTGGACTCGCCCACCTTCTTGCAATCCTTCATCTGACTCGGCTTTATGCTATTGGTCGTTGGACGGTCTCGACTTGACTTCATACCTTTAGCTTCAGACTATGTTTCAATGGGCTTCATCTCGTTGGTGCGTAGTTGCGTGCGTTTGGACCCTGTGGCGTTGGTCTTGGACCTTCTGAAACTGGGCTCCAACCTGCCCACGCGATCCTCCACACGCTTGGAGCTCATCCCGTCGGTCTTCAGCACTAGCAGACCAGAGTTGATGGTGTTGGTGTCGGACTGCGTGAATCTGGAGAGCTCCTCGTCGGCCCGGAGTCCTGTGCATTTGGGCCTGGCGATGTTGGCCTTGGACTTCCTTCATTTGGGCTTCGCACCGTTGTTGAGGCAATCTGCATGCCCGGACTTCACCTTCTTGATCTCCGGCAGCCTTCAACTCGACTTCTTGCCTTTGACACTTGATGTGGTCAGCACGGCATCTATGACGTCCTCGCGCTCCTTCGCATGTCCTGAGTTGATACTTTCAGTTTTGGACAAGGCAAGCTCGGGACCCACTCCGCCCTTGCAAAGCCTCGTTTGCTTAGGCTTCGTCTTGTTGGCCTTAGACTTTTTACACCTGGACCTGTCTTTGTCGCTCAAAAGCCATGTTCGCCCTGGCAGCTTCACATCTGCCTGTGGCGTCGCCTGGCTCGAGTTGTCCTTACTGGTGCTGGATCATTTGCAATCAGACTCTTCACTCCTTTTACGCAGCACGGCACAGGTCAATTCTACTCTCTTTCTCTTGGGCCGCTCACACTTGGGCTCTCCCTTGCCACTCTTGGACTCCATTCAGATTGACCTGCTGGTGTCGGCAAAAAGCCTTGCCAGGCCCGAGTTGGCGGCTTCGATCTTGGAGCTCATCCATTTGGACTTCTTCTCGTCCTCGCGGCAACCCGCTCGTTCAAACTCCTCGACGCCAGCCATCCGCGCCGCACGCGTGGGCTTGCTGCCGTTGGTACTGGACCGGACGTTGCTGGGCTCGCTGTCGCTGGCCAGGAGCTTCGTGCGCATGGGATTGGCACCTTTCGCCTTGGACTTTGCACATTTGGAGTTGAGCTTGTTGGTCCGAAGCCATGCCCGACCAGGCTTCTTGGTGCCGGTGCTAGATCTTCTGCATCTGGAATTCTTCTTGTTGGTGCATAGTCCTGCTTGCTTTGACTTGGGTCCTTCTGTGATTGGATTAAACTGATTTGGCTCAGTGTTCTCCCTATCAGCCACAGACTGTACAATGCTTGACCTGACGCTTCCCATCCAAAGCTTTGCTTATCTTGATTTCGGCATGTTTATCATGGACTACTTAAGGTCAGGATCGTCCCTTTCTGTGAGGTCCCATGCACACCCTGGCTTGGCAGCATCCATGCTGGACTTCCTGCATCTTGGCTCTTCCGTCTTTGTGAAGAACATGGCTAGACCAAGTTTATTCTTGTTGGCCTTCGGTCGAGTTTGTCTTGACTTCACCACTCCAGTGCTGGACCGCACGCATTTGGGCCTTTTGCCATCTGTGCAAAGCTTGGTCTGCTTCGGCTTGAGCTTGTTGGTCCTGGACTCTTTGCATTTGGACTTCTCCACGTTTCCACACACCCATTGCCGAACTGCCTCCTTCTTGCCCGCCGCAGGGGTCGCTCGCTTGGAATTTGCTTCGTCGGTGTTGGACCCCGTCCATTTGGGATTCGTGATGCTCGTGCGGAGCACGGCGAGGTCGGGGAGCTTCCTATTCACCTTGGACCTTTTGCAATTGGGATTCTTCTTGCTTTTGAGGCAATCCTCATGTTCAGGTTCCTTCACTTCAATGGTGGGCATGGCTTGCCTCGACTCCATCCTGCCGACTCTGGACTTTGTGCAGATCGAGTCCATAGTGCCTTTGCGAAGTCATGCACACCTTGAGCCAGCGGCTTCGATCTTGGACTTTGCACATACCGGATCGTCCACGCTCCTACGAAGCTCTTTCCATCCCGGCTCCTCGGCGCTGATTCTGGACTGGTCTCACTCGGACTTCTTCTTGCCAATACGTTCCCTTGGTCATCTGGACTCTTCGATCTTCATCCCGGACCTCTTACATCCAGGCTTGTTCTTGTCCGTCCGCAGCTTCACTTGCCTCGGCTCCGCCTCATCCGCCACGGACCTCCTCCACCCGGGTTTCTCCCCGCCGGCACGGAGCCTCGCACGGGCCGGGTTGGCCATGCCGGTGTTGGACCTCGCCAAGTTCGCGCCCTCCATCTCGGCCAGGAACTATCAGCGGATTGAGCTGCTACTGTTAGTCACGGGAGGTTGCAATCTGGACCTCTCACTATCACCTTTGGACCATGTGCATCTGGAGTTCTTCTCGTCCTCGCACAGCGTGGCATGGCTCGGCTTCTTGTTGTTGGTCCTGGACCTCTTAAAGTTGGGATTCTTCTTGTTTTCGCGCAATCTCTACTGCGCGGGCTCGGCGGTCTTGGCCATTGGATGCGTGCGCTTGAACTTGCTTTCGCTGGTGTCGGATTTCGTGACCTTGGGATTGTCCACTTCATTGCACAGCGTGGCACGGACCAGCTTTTTGGTGTTGGCTTTGGACTTCCTCCATCTGGGATCTTCGGTCTTCCTGCACGCCTACATGCGATTGGCTTCTTTGTTGTTGGTCTTTGGGTGTGCTTGCTCAGGCCCCTTCTTGCCCATTTCGGACATTGCACATTTGGAGCTACCCTTGCTTGTGCGAAGCTTCTCCCACTTGGGCTTCGCGGCTTCGGTCTTGGATTTCCTTCATCTGGAGCTCATGCTGTCCTCGCGCAGCTACTCATGCATGGGCCCAGCTTTGTTGGTCTTGGATCTCTTACATTTGGGCTTGCTCATGTCACTCAGGAATTACATTCAACCTGGCTCGAGCTTTCCGGTGATGGGCTTGTGTTGAATTGACTCGGCGCTCTTCGCCTTGGATCTCACACATTTGAGCTTCAGCGTGCCACTGCAAAGCCTTATGTGACTTGGTTTTCTCTTGCCGGTCTTGGACTCTGTGCATCTGGGGTTCTTCTTGTTGGTGCAAAGCTCTGTGTGTTCGGGTTTGGTCTCGTTCGTGCTGGACTTTCTGCATCTTGAATTCTCCATTTCTCTTCGAAGCCTCACCAGACTGGGCAGCACGATGTCCGTCCTCGGAACAGTTCGATCGGATAGTTTTCTGTTGCTTCTTGATCATGTGTGCTTTGACTTGTTCATGTCAATCCACAGCACGAGCCGATCAGGACTTGTCATGTTGACTCTGGACCACTTGACACTTGGAAGCAGCTCATTGGTGCAAAGCCTTTCACGTCTAGGCTTCACCTCTTCGGCTTTCAGCATTGCATGCTTAGGACTTCCGATGCCAGTCTTGGACTTTGTGCACCTGGACTTCTCCTTGTCGGCACACAGTTGTGCACGATCGGACCTGGCGGCCTCAGCCTTGGACTTCCTTCATTCAGGACCCATGTTGTTGGCACGAAGCTCTGCAAGCTTTGAGTCCTCCCTGTTCTTGCGAATGCCTTCATGCTCTGACAGCCCCTTCTTCTTGGTGGGCATTGCTCGTTTGGACTCCATGCTGTCGATCCTTGATGGTGTCCACATGGGCTTCTTCTTGTCCATCAGAAGCTGCACATGCCCCGGCTCAGCCATGTTCGTCTTGGATTTCCTGCATTTGGGTTCCCTGATGCCCATTCGAATCCTTGCACGCATTGGATCCTCCTGCTCGGTCTTCGGAATGACCCGCTGTGGCTCCTCCTCTTTGCCCTTGGACCCCACGCACTCGGGCTCGGCCACGTTCACACGCAGTCGCGCATGGTCCGGTCCGGTGATTTCAGCCTTGGACCTCTTGCATCTCGACCCGCCCGTGTTCTTGAGGCAACTCGCATGCTTCGGCTTCTCCTCGTTGATCTTTGGAAGGTGTCGACTGGGTTTCACAGTGCTGGTGCTGGACCACGCACATTTCGACCCGTTGCTGTCCTTGAGGAGCTTCGCAAGGCTAGGATTCAGCTTGTCCGCGCCGGACTTGTTACACCTTGAATTCCTCCTATCCATGCAATCCTTCTCACACTTGGGCTTTTTCACGTTCACGTCCAGTCGATCGCGATCGGACTTGTTCTCTTCGATCCTGGACTTTGCAGATTTGGGCTTGGTGTTGCTGGTGCGCAGCTTTGGATGCTTTGGATTCATGTCGTTTTCACACAGTTCCTCGACTCTCGACTTCGCCTTTTTACTGCTGGGCTCAGCTCGCTTCAACTTGTCCCTCTTGGCCTTGGATTGGGTGGCCTTCGACTCCTTCATGTCCTTGCGCAGTATGGCTCACGTGGGATTCTTGATGTCTATTCTTGACCTTCTGCACCCGGGGCCAACGACTTCCTTAAAGAGTTTTGACCGATCTGAGTCGATGTTTTTGGCCTTCGGCCTGTCTCGCTCTGAGTCGATGGTGTCATCGCTGGATCACGCGCTTCCAGGCAGCTTTTTGTCCGTTAGGAGCATGGTGAGACTTGGGTTTGCATTGTTGATTTTGGACTTCCTGCATTCGGGATTTTCACTGTCTATCCAAAACTTCTGCCAAATCGGATCATGCTCCTTGGTCTTCGGTGGGGTAAGGCCCGGCTTCTTGTTGTTGGTGATGGACATGGCACACTTCGGCTTGCTGTTTTCAATCCAAAGCTTCCTGCAACCGGGTTTGGCCTTCTTGATTTTCGGCATCTCACGGATGGAATTGATCTTGTCGGCCTTGGATTCTGTACACTTAGAGCTGCCGCTGTTGGCCAGAAGCACGGTGAGATTTGGCTTCTTGCTGTTGATCTTGGACTTCTTGCATTTGGGCTTGATCTCGTTGGTTCGAAGCTTTGCGAACTTTGACTTCACCTTGCTCTTGAGGCAAATGGCTCGGCTTGGCTTCTGCTCTTCATTGTTTGGACTGTCTCGTGTTGGACCTCCTTTGCTCCTCTTGGACTATGGATACCTGGACTCCCCGATGTCTATCCGTTCGCTCGCCCACGTGGGCCTCGCCGCGCTGGTGTTGGATTTTTTGCATATGGGATCCCCGTTGCTGCCCCGAAGCCCTAAGCATTTCGGATCGACCTTCTTAGCCTTTGGCCTGTCATGTCCCGAACTGATCCTGTCGGTGCTGGACCTTGTTCATTCAGAGTTTTCGATGTTGGCACAAAGCATGGCCCAATCCGAGTCGCTGATATTGGTCTTGGACTCCTTGCATCTGGGCCTTCCCTCATTGCTTCAAAGTCTTGCATGTCTGGACTCGGCCTTCTCTGTCTTTGGCTTGGCACGCTTGGGCTTCAGCGTCTCAGCCTTAGACTACGCCCTATTGGGACCCGTGTCGTCCCTGCGCTCCTCCGCGCGCTCAGGCTTGGCTTCGCTGGTGTCAGACCTCCTACGCTTGGGCTTCACCCTGTCTTTACGCAGCTCCTTCTGCTTGGGATTCGCCTCTCTAGTCTTCGGCATGAGTAAATGTGGCTCATCACCTTCACTGTTGGACAGCGCCTACTTGGGCTTCCCACTCTCGCTCCATAGCATGGCATGGCCCGGGCCAGCACTTCCAGCTCTGGACCTCTTGCACCTAGGCCTGTCAATCTCGCTTCACAGCCCTGCCCAGCTGGGTTCGGCCTTTTCCATCTTCCAGCGCATGAAGCTTGATCTCTCCCCATCCACCCTGGACCCCACGCATTTAGACTTGGCCACGTTCATCCGTAGCCTCGGCCGCTTCGGCTTCCAGTTCTCCGCCTTCGGCATGACGTGCCTCGGCCCTTCGACGCCTCCCTTGGACTTCGCTCTGCTGGACCCCACGCCCTCGCCGCGGAGCTTCGCGCAACTGGACCCGCCGGCGCCGGCGATCGACCCTTTGCATATTGAGCCCATGCCTTCGACGAGGAGCCTCGCATGGATGGAGTTGGTCGTGTTGGCCTTGGATCTCCTACATCTGGAGTCCTTGTTGCTGTCAAGGAGCTTTACAAGAGTGGGACTCCTGATGCCTTTGCCGGACCTCATGCATGTTGGGCCACTGATTTTACTCCGATCCTTTGGTCGACTTGGCCTTGCAGTCTTAATGCTGGACCTCCTCCACATGGGCTTCTCACCTTCCCTCCAATCCATGTGTCACTTGGGCAGCGCCTCCTTGGTTTTTGGAAAGTGCCAACTTGGCTTCCCCATGTCCTCGCTGGACCCTGGCAGTTTGGGCCTCACTTTGCCCGTCCGCAGTTCCTCTCACTTCGACTCTGCAATGCCGGCACCCGACCCCCCTGCACCCGGGATCCAGCCTGCTGCCGAGAAGCTCCGCTTGACTGGGCAGCGTCACATCTGCATGGAGTTGCAGTAGACCAGAAAGCTCCTCCCTGATCTTGGACTTTGCACTTTTGGGCTTCTCCTTGTCCTCACGATCGCTTGCATGCGTCGAATTCTTGGCGTTCATGTTGGATTTCCTGATGCTCGGCCTATCTGTGCTACTGAGAAGCCATGGTTGATCTGACTTCACGTCGTCGATCTGCGCCAACGCACGCCCGGGGTCGCCACTCTTCATCCTGGATCTTGTACATCTCGAATTCGTGGTGTTGATCAGAAGTATGGTTCACTTGGGTCTTGCCACTTTGGTGTCAGATTTCCTTCATTTGGACCCCTCACTGCCTGTTCGAAGTTTGATTTGCTTCGGGTCAGCCCTACTCACGTTCCAAAACGCACGCTTGGGCCCAAGCCTTTTGGCGTCAGATTTGGTGGTGATGGGTTCGTCGCCTCTCATGCGAAGCTCGGGACAATCAGGCCTGGTGTCGTTGGCTCCGAGTAGGGTAGCCTTTGGCTCCTCAGCGCTTCTGTTGGACTTCATCCACCTCGACAGCCTCCTGTTGGCTCGAAGCTCTGTTTGGATGGGTTTCGCCATATCAGTCTTGGACTCCTTGCATTCAGGCTCGTCTGTATCCACTCGTAGCTGGGGACACATGGGCTCTTGCGTGTTGGTGTCAGATTTCTTACACTTGGACTTGAGCTCATCGACTCGAAGCCTCGTGCGTACCGGGCTACCTTCATTCATCCTGGACCTTGCACACTGCGACTCCTCCTTCTCCACCCGCTCCTTTGCACACTGTGGTAGCTCTCTGCCCATCCTGGACCTCTTGCATCTGGGCTTCTTCGTTTTACTGAGAAGCTCCGGACATGTGGACTCGGCCTTCCTCGCCTTTGGACTGTCACGTCCGGGATTCTGTCTCTTGGCCTTGGACCATGTGAATCTGGGCTTGATCTTGTCCATTCGTAGCATTTCGCGACTGAACTTGGGGCTCTTGGTCTTGGACTTCTTGCACTTAGACTCCAACTCGTTGGTTCAAAGCATGGTCCACATGGGCTTCGCCTCTTCTGTGTTCGGCATCGCTTGCTTGGGCTTCTCCCTATCCTTGCTGGACTCCGCCATGTTGGGATTCTTCTTGTTGACTCAAAGCATTGGGCATCTTGAGCTGGTGGCCTTGGTCTTGGATCTTCTTCATATGGGCTCGTCCATTTCACTCCGGTCATATGCTCGGATGGATCCTTTGGTCTTCATCTTGGACTTGGGCCACTTGGGCTTGTCACCCCCGTTACGCTCGATGGCGCGCACAGGCGCGGCGCGCGGGCGGCGCGGGCGGCGCGGGCGCGGGCGTGGGTCGACGCTGGTGGTGGGAATGGACGGCGACTCGACAACCCTTGGGAGTCCAACTGGTTGACCTTGATTGGTTGACCTGAAACAAGGGTGGTTCGGTCAAGACATGCACTCTATGGAGTGGAACTGAGGTTACAGCAAGGGGAGGAATGATGATCGAAGAGTTGCCAGTCGATGCGGACCTTTAAATCCCTCTAGGTCGCCAGTCTTTGGTCGCCAGCTCCCGCACCAACTGGGGCGGTTTGGACGAAAGAAGCACCATGCCAAGGAGCGGTTTTATTCCAAGTTGCTTTTTTTCCAAGCCACCCCACTGGCCTGTGGCGGGTCCAGGTATCAGCGATGGGTTGACTTGGGATCCATAGGATTTTTCCCAACCACGTGTTTGGGGTCCCTGGTTACTTGAGTCGTTTTCCAGCTTCCTAAACTTCAGTCTAAGAGACTCCTCATTGGAGACTTCAAAGGTTTCAACTTGCAGTTCATTCAACTTGATGCTCTTCCCCAGCTTCAAACTGCCCCCCCGCTCTGGCGCAGCAGCGCCTTCGCCCCGCTGGGCGCTGCTTCGCCCCGCGGTGACGCCCTGCGACGCCAGGCCTCGCGGCGTTCGCGTTGGATCTCGCGCACTTGGGTTTCACCCCACCGTCACGCAGCGCGGGCGCCCGGCGCGAGCCGGTTCCCGGACCCCCCCGTGTGACCCGCGCCCCTGCCGGGGGCTGGGTGCATTCGGTGGGCGAATCTGGGAACCACGAACGGCGGAAGCCAGAGTGGTTTGTCCGGATATTGGGTATGTTTTGGGTCTGTCCATGTCTGTCCTATGACCTGTATACCAGTCAGCAATAGAAGCAAAAAAGCACAATTTTTCCCGAAAGCATTGCGAAGGGTTCTTCCGGAAAATCTCTTGAACACTTACGTCTATACTTACACTTGACTTACACTTCTATACTTACACTTGAACACTTACACGTCTATACTCTTATATACTTACACTTGAACACTTACACTTCTATACCTACAATGGCACTGAAGTATCCAAGGGAAAGTTTGCAAGTGAAAGCATCCAAGTGCAAGTATGCAAGTGTAAGTATCCAAGTGTAAGTCTCCAAGTATAAGCACGAAAAACTTTCACGGGAGATATCCTAATGAAAAACATTCCCCCACTTTATAAGTTCTCTTTAAAGGCGGAGGGTGGGACGAACAGCGTCAACCGAAAATGCAACCCTCTGCGGAGATCGTGTGTGTCGAGCGCGCGAAATGCAGGCGAGAGTGCGATTTGTCCGGGCCGCGCGCAGCCCTCTGCGGAGATCGTGCGTGTCGAGCGGGCGAAATGCAGGCGAGAGTGCGATTTGGAGACTTGCTTCACTTTTGGAGGAAGTCTCGTACGAAGCGCTCGTTTTGGAGACTTGCCGCTTCACTTTTGGAGGAAGTCTCTCTCGCACGAAGCGCTCGTTTTGGAGACTTGGCGCTTTACTTTTGGAAGGGGTCTCGTGCGAAGCGCTCGTTTTGGAGACGGGGCGCTCACTTTTAAAAGTCTTCGATTTGGAGACTTGGCACTGCACTTGTGGAGCTCGACTCAGACCTAGCCATTCGTAGTGCGGGAAAGAGCTTTTCGGAGCTGGAGTCAGAAGTGGCCGGTTTGTAGTACAAAAGTAGTGCGGGAAAGAGCTTTTTGGATCTGGACTCAGAAGTGGCCAGTTTGTAGTACAAAAGTAGTGCGGGAAAGAGCTTTTTGGATCTGGACTCAGAAGTGGCCAGTTTGTAGTGCAAAAGTAGTGCGGGAAAGAGCTTGCAGAGCTGGAGCAAGAAGTGTGGCCAAAGTGCGTTCGTGATGTCGCAGCGCCTTTGGGATTTGCGCGGCCTTGGTGGGATCTGCGTTTGCGTGGCGCCGTGCCACAGGGGAGCGCGAAACATGCTGGCGTAAACGCGGCGTGTCGCTGGTGAGCGAGATCATTGGCGGTATCATGTGATATGTTTGCTTCTAGTGTGTGGACAGACCGTTTGGCCAAAGTACGTTCGTGATGTCACAGTGCCATTGGGATTTGCGCGGCCTTGGTGGAAAGTGCGTTTGCGTGGCGCGGCGTGTCGCTGGTGAGCGGGATCATTGGTGGTATCATGTGATATGTTTGCTTCTAGTGTGTGGACAGACCGTGTGGCCAAAGTACGTTCGTGATGTCACAGTGCCATTGGGATTTGCGCGGCCTTGGTGGGAAGTGCGTTTGCGTGGCGCCGTGCCACTGGGGAGCGGGAAACATGCTGGCGTAAATGCGGCGTGTCGCTGGTGAGCGGGATCATTGTGGTATCAAGAGTGTCCCAAAAGAGTGCCCCGCAAGAGCTTCCTACAAGAGTGACCCACAAGAGTGTCCCACAAGAGTATCCCACAAGAGTGTCCTACAAGACGGCGTGTCGCTGGTGAGAGGGATGATTGGTGGAATTATATGGTATTATGTGATGTGTTTGCTTCTAGTATGTCTGTGACCTCTTCAGCGTTGTGCTGACACAGCGAGAAATGCACCAAGGTTGGCGCTCCTGAGCCACAACGTTGCGCTGCCGTTTCATCTGCACATCGACATCTACACTCCTCACCTCTGTACACACACAGACATAGATACACACATAGACACTTACTCAACACACTGGACTGAACACTTCACACTTAACACTTAACACACAACTCACATTCTAACTTCACACGTGGTGAAAAATGCTTTTGGGCCACCATCATCCACTGAAGCCTGATAATAGGATAGACCCAAAAAAATGTTACTGTTTGATTCCGATTTGGGTGCACCTTCAAGGACAGGTGGTATGGTACCATTGGGAGATCCCTCAAAGACAATTCCATATACAGTTCCAGTCTGACCCAAACCTGCTCCTGAAGACCTCATTGAGTACAGTACAGTAGTGCTGCTTTTGCATGACCAACTCCAGCAAAATGAGGTCAGTTTGTCACCTTTTTGGGAATCCTCACCATGTTAGATGGTTTTCTGAGAAGAATCAGGGCCCCTCATCACGTGGCTTGCAGTCTTGTTGGAGGGGCACTCAGTTGTGCCACGAACACATCAGTTTTGAAGCCCGTCCCAGAGCTTCACCACAGAGTCGAGCAAGAGACGCATGGATTTCCATGGTTAGCAAGTGGATCACCTTTGAAATCAGAGACGCATGCTCCTCTTGGCCACCCTGACATTTTGCCAACCACACGGTTCCAAGAAAGGAGGATGATACACCGGCAGATCTTGGGAGGGAAAGCCTGCTGTTTCTTTTTTTTTCTTAGACCGTGATCTGGAGACAAAGCTAAGCATGAGAAGCCTCCTCGTCAGACAGCGAAGTCATCCACGTGGCTTCCAACACGTCATACACCATGTGATGTGGGGGACCCTTTGGGGCCGGGTTTTGAGGTGAAAAAGGCACCCACAAAAGAAATGGCATGAAAAGGAAAGCACCTAGCAGCAGTTCCAGGTCGGAATGCTGTTTAATTCCCATCCAGAATCCAGTGGATGTGATAGGGGCACCCCAAAACAGCACCCTTATCCTCCATGGAACTGTTACCAGCACCCGACTTCACAGGTGACCAGCTGCGACTTTGAAGTCTGCAAAAGCCACCAGCCATCGGAGACCTGTAGAGTCGGGTCCTGCTACTGTATTGCAAAACGAATCCCTTTGGATTCCAATTGGCTCCGAAGAAACCGACGCTTCCCCGGGGTGACCGTGTTCTACCCAGTCAGGAGTCCGAGCCGTCTTCCGCAGGCGGTGGTTCGGAAGTTCCGCGCGCGGAGGGCGAAAGACCCGGGGGCTCCGAGTCGCGACTTCCGGGCAAGGTCTCGCTTAGTTGGGTTTCTTGATCTCCATCGTGGACTTCGCGGGGATCCGAGAGATGTGGGGAGAGATGGGCGGGGATGAGTTTGGGTGGGATGGGATGGGGAGTTTGATCTGGTGGGATATGATGGGATGGTGGGATCTTGACACTGGTAGTGGGTTGGGTTGTTGGGATGGGGCAGATGGGTTGTTGGGATTCCGAACTTCAGTTTGGTGGACGCAGCATGAACTACTCCAATCCATCCACTGCCAGGACCTCGGGGTTTTCAGTCCTGGGCTCTTAGGGTTCTCTCAGGGTTTGGGGTCAAGAACAGAATGATGCATGATGAATTCTGGCGCATCATATCTTCGACACCCGTCCATGTCCTGTCCGGAGATCTCTCAGTAGTGGGCTGGGGCGAAACCAGCCAGGTGACCCCGAATGGAAGGTGCTGGTATGATGCATCATGTTCAGATCAATGATAATCTTCCACCCTCCAACGGGTCTCCGAAATGGAGGCTTTTGACTCAAAAGTCACAGGTGGTGACCTGTTGGCCGTTCCTGGTTGAGATCATCTACCAGTTCGAGGGGTCTCACATCCACACCCTTCCGGCGAACTGGTGGTTGAAACATGTTCGCATCTCTTCGAACCGGAACCGGTTCCAACCCTCCTCAGCGGTTCCAACAGGCGAGCAGGCGGTTCTTCCGTCCGGTCCGCACCCGAAAGCCGGTCCGCCAGGTGAACAGATGCGAAACACGCATGTTGGCTGCTGGGGGTTCCAGGGCGCCGGCGCCCCATATTCTTCGCTTCTGTCCCTTCGTTCTCCATCAACTTCACCTCATCCCACACCCGCCACGCCCACCTCACCCCACCTCACGCCCACGCCCGGTCACATGGCCGGCCGCCCAGACGCACCTGGACTTGGTGCCGCCGCTCCGTAGCTCAGCCCGTCTGGAGCCCTCCACCTCCGCCGGGGACGCCCAGTGACCGCCGTGACGGGTGATGACCGGGTGGTGGAGGGATACTCCTGACGCTAGAAGTCAGTTGGACCTCATGAACTACTGGAAATGGGAGGTAACAAAGCCCAGACTTCAGGTCAGTTGGAGCAGGTTTGGACCTGGGTCAGACATGGACGTACGTAGGGTAATAGTAGGTTTTCTTCCATCCAATCACCACTTCTTCAAGAGGAGCGTCTTCCAACAGGTCTCCGAAATGGAGGATTTTGTAGACTTCAAAGTCGCAGGTGGTGACCTGTTAGAAGGTCCTGGAAGAGGAGTGTTTTTTTCTTTCTTTTACCGTTGGGCCAAACAAGGGGTCGAGTTTCAGGTCGGGACATGGGAGGGAGCGCCTGCCAGACATGACACTGGGACTGTGCTATTAAATAGCACACCCAGTCGAAGTTCCTCAGATGGACTCATCTTCTCCCAGCTGGGAGTCGCTGGGAGTCATGGTTAGTCACCCACATCATCAAAAGAGTCACTCGACCTGGGAAGCGCTTCTGGTTCGTCACAATACGCATTGGAACCTGCATTTCAACCTGGGACGTTAGTCACAATACTGTTACTCACTTTCTATAGTACGATGACCATCAGAACACCCCTGACCCCACCCATTTGTCCAAGTACGCGGTGGAGACCAGGTAGTACCACCAGTTGGATTTCCAGGACTCAGGAGCCACAAAATTCACAAAACCCTTGTTCATGGAACCCCCTATAGACTCACCCCGACCATCTTTTCGACCAAACAAGCAAAACAGAAACAACTCTTTTTGGTTTCGGCTTCTTTTGGACCCTGCCTGGACCTTCAAGGGGCCCTGGACCTTCAAGGTGTCCCGGCTGGAGGTCCCTGTACGTAGTGGGCTGGGGCTTCCCACTAGTATAGTGTAGTGGGCTTAGGCTTCGCTTGAAGGTACTGGTGGTTTCGATCCCATTTTCATCCCTTGGCTTCGGGGAATCCGTTTCTTCACCCAGGCGCTGGACCTCGGTGCTACTGGGCCGTTGGGTGCCTAGAAGTCTGCGGGGGTGGTTCTCCCTCCGCCACGGTTTGGGTCGTGGGATCCGCGGTGGTGTGGAGAGTTCAAGGCGACCGTTGATTGACAGAGTCGCGACGTTTCTTCCCAAACACATACCTAGATCTTCCAACTATGCAACATTTATGCCAACCTTGGCTGGTTTTATACACAAAGGCAGACATTTTGCATAGTTGGAAGGATCTAGGTATACCAGGAGTGAGTGGATGTGACAGGGGCCACCCAGTTCCGTCCTCCGACCTTCGCCTTCGCCTTCGCTCCCTGCACGGATCGCCGAGCAGCGACCGTTGCCATGAGCTTCGGTGGGGTGGGGTTTCCGGGGCGGAGGGGAGTTGGGTTCCTGGAAGTTCGGTGGAGATCCCAGTTCCTGGGAGTCCGGACCTGGGACTGCCACGTCGGACTGCCGGTTGTGCGGCCAGGGCGTGGTGGGAAGGTCAATGGGGTGGCGGAAGGCAGTCCCATGCAGTCCCAGGTCCGGGTCGTGTCTGGGTCTAGTGACTAGTGGTCATTGGGATGGCGTACATGTATCCACCTTGGATCTGGGTCGAAGGGTTGACAAACCCCAGATGGGGCTGGAAGGATCGATCTTGAGATGGCAGGAGAGCAGATAGGAGTGAGTACTCAGAGTACTCAGCAAAGGCATGGAAGGTTCCAGGACCTTCCGTTCGTCAGGTGGTTTTTGGACCCTGGAACCACCACTCTCAGAGACTCTCATGGATGTGTCCACAGTCCCAACCACTTGCGTAAAGGATCTCCGTCTTGCCGGAACATCCACAAAGGTCCATGCACCATCACTGGCAGTTTGGGATGTTTCAAGACGGAGATCCTTTACGCAAGTGGTTTGGACACTGGACACATCCATGAGTGGGGGCTTCACTGAACATGGGTGGGGCTCGCTGCCTAGCTACCAGAGTTCCGAAAGCGGCCGCCCAGGCGTGGTCTTGTAGTGAATCCGGAAAAGACTGGTTGTTGGGGGGATGGAACACCCATGAAATCAGATCTCCGAAATGGAGGGTTGTTAGACTCTAATCCCTACAAGTCCAGTCTGATGCGGTAAAACCTGGTCCTTTACCTTCTTGAATAGTGTTTTTGATGTGTTTTTGCATGACCAACGTCAGTAAAATGAGGTCCTTGACTTGTAGGGTAAATGGGGCCCTCAAAACCATGCAAAACAAAGGTTTTCGCATACAAAAACCATGCTTTTTGCTAGGGAAAAAGCCGGGTTTTTGATGGTTTGTGGGGCCCCTGGTCGACTCGACTCTAGGTTTCGGTACCTTGAGGGTCGAGGTGTTTTCAACTGAGAGTCCGTTCCGTTCTGGCAATCTCTTCGGTCCGGCAGACCGCGGTTGACCGCGCAGACCGCGTGAGTTGAGGTCCCCCTCCTCACGAAGTTTCGCGCGAGCGGCTTCGGCAGCTTCGGCCTTGGACTTTCTGCACTTGGACAGCATCTTGTCTCTCAGGAGAGGCTGAGCGGCAGTTGTGGGCGAGAGAGGAGTTGCGTGTCCAAGCCCAACGCCCGAGTTGTGGGCCTCGCTTTGAGGGTTGGTGCCTCTTCCAGATCCGGCAGCGGATCTCCGGAACGTCGCCTCCGAGCCGGAGAGACATTCTCGTCAGCAGGGCTGGTGTGGCTGGTGTTCTTCCGCCGTCGGGTGGTGGAGCAACAGATAAGTGACCTGAACTAGGACACGTAACCTGGGGTACCCATATGGGATAGCCTAGTTCGGGTCCTTCAACCTCTGTTGGGAGCTGCGCCTTTTTCGGGATAGGTTTTGAGTGAAAAGGTGGCTGGTCCAGAGCCAGTCTTTTCTTTCTGGCGAAAGGGCCACAACTCGTGTATTCATGTGTATTCCAAAAGAACAACTCTGGTGGTGGTTCCCAAACTGACTGGGGCTGGGGTTCAAAGAACACGGATTTAGAGCAAAAATACACGGAACCCCAAGCAACAGACACAACTGGATGCAAGCACTTGTTGCTGCGTCAGGATCTCAATTAGCCATTTGGTTCTTTGGGAAAGCCAGGGTTACCACATGGACACATGGACAGAACTGATGTTTTGTCTAAGCGTTTCGCTTCCGGCAGGAGCTATGGACAAATTGGCCTTGCATTCTTCGTCTCTAGCATGACTTGCCCTGAACTCATCCTGCCGCTTGGGCACGGAACGCAGTACGGGCACTGTTCCAGGTGCTGACCGTGATTTCCGGTCACCTATATAGGGGCCAGGTTCTGGATCGCAGAGTGCTCTGAAGCCCTGAGTGCTCTGAACATGAAGCGAAAACTCCTTTTCCAGGGCCGTGCTGAAATTCCCGCTAAAGTATCCAAGACGAGGTTCTTCTTGGCACCTCTGTCTATGACGGGTCGGGATCCTCAAAACCTTTTCCAATCGAGGGACTGGATTCTCGGGATAGTGACAACGGGCGCTGGGTCAACAGTGGTTTCAGACGGCACAATCACAATCCATAGAAACAGACAACATTTTTGGTGCCATCTATTCTGAAACCACTTTAAGCAGCCTACGAGTCCAGGAAAATGACTCATCAACTGCCCTGAATCATAGTAAGTAGGTGGATTAGGAGTATACCAGGTGGGGAACAACTTATGAGTTGGCTGGAAGTTCCAGGGAGCCGCAGCACGAAAAAAAGGATGCACACCTAGCTATACCCAACTCCATTTGGAACCCCAAACTCTGTCCTTTCTTGATATTTGCCGTGCTTTTGTGTGATCAAGTCAACCCGGGTCAGTTCCGCGGCGGTCGGAGCGCCGCACACCGACACCGGCGCAAAACCAAACACCATCGCACGCGCCGAGGTCAGCGTCGGATTTCGCGCTCTTGGGATCGTCCGTGTTTCTGCGAAGCCTTGGACGACTAGGCCGGTGGGGAGGGCGTGGGCCTCCGCCTTGGGGCCTTGGCGTGAAAGATTCGAAGCCTGGTACCGATTCGTGGGCCTGAGCAGGGCCGCGCAGAACATGAGGCTCCTTGAGGCGACTTTGTTGAGATCCTTTTTTTTTCTTGCTAAGACGCTAGCCATTTGCAATCTCCATTTGGTTGACTCACTTCGATGTTTTCAACCAACTCAAGTTGGGTGGGTGAAAGAAAGAAGCAGCATTTGCTGCAACTGAAATGCCAATTGCACTGGTCGCCTGAAATTGGGAGATTCTGAGAGCGAACTGCAAGGAGTTCCTGGCAAATCCGGTTCGAAAGGACTATCGATCCAGTTGAACCTGCCAGTCAATCCAGTCTCAGGGCGATTTTTCTGAGCGAACACCTGGCGAGAGAGATCCGTTTCACTGCGCAGCAGAGTTTTGTTGAGGACTCTGAGTGTTTTAGGATGCTGGAGCTATTTTTGTTGACTTCCTTTCAATGCAGACCGAGCCACAGAAGCCGAGAGTTTGCATCGCCAAAAGCAACGATGGAAAACCCAATGGATGTTCTTTTTTCACTTCTTGGGATGTTCATGGATTCATGGATGTTCCAAAGGTGTTTTTTTTTTTGACAAATCATGGTAGTACAGAACCCCCTGTTCGTAAAGGACACTAGTCTTCCAAGGGAGCATTTTGCCCATTTCCTTGTGATGCGTTCCTCGGAGTGTCAGTGTTTGATGGTTCTTGGATCTTACGAAGTGAGATCCCTTCCCTCCACATGGAAGAGATCCCTTCCCTCCACAAACGAGGTCGAACTTCACCCCCATCCCTTCCAAACAGCTGACGTCGCGGAGTGTAAAACCATGTCAAACCCAACTACGGCTCCGGGGCCCCCACCCAGAAAATCGGGGACAAGACCTTGTCGTGCCCTGCTCCCCCCCCAAACCCGCCTAAAAAACTCCTTTTGGTCTGCGCAACGAAGCCCACCCCAGGTCTGGTGATGCTTGCCTTTGACTTCGCGGAACCGGAATTTTCGATGTCGATGCGCTCGATGGTTCGCTTCGGTTTGACGACGCTGGTCTTTGGCATGTCGAGAACGGACTTCTTCTTGTTGATCTTGGATTTCGCTCTGCTAGACTTCAGCCTGCCCATCCGAAGTCATGCTTGCTTGGGATCCTCCCTCTTGGTCTTGGACCTTTTGCATCTGGACTCGGCCGCCTTCATGCGCTCCTACACTCGAATGGACTTCCTGATGTTCACCTCGGACCTCGCGCACCTCGGCTCCTCCACCTCGCTCCGGTCCCTTTCCCAGGCGGACTTGTTGGCGCCGATCTCGGACCCTTGCCACGCGGACTCGGCGCCGTTCTCGCGGAGCCTCGCGCATTTGGAGTCGGCGTTCTTGATTTTGGAGTTCGCTCATTTGGACTCGTCGATGTCTTTGCGCAGCTATGCTTGTTTGGGCTCCTTGGTGTTGATTCTGGATCTTGCACATTCAGAGCTTCCCCCGTCGATCCACAGCCATGCTCAACCGGACTTCGTGGTGCTGTTGTTGGACTACTTGCGGCTCGACTTCACGCTCCCGGCGCGCAGCTTCGGACGGCCCGGGTCCTCATCCTTGGCATTTCAAAAGGCCCAACTGGAGTTCTTCTTGTTGATCTTGGACTTTGCTTGCCTAGACTTGGCCTCGTTGGCACGAAGCTCGGCGCGCTTTGGCTTAGTCTCTTTGACCTTGGACCTTGGCTTCTTCGACTTTCTCATGTCCGTCAGATCCTCCGCGCGCTTCGGCTCCGCGGCCTCTTCGTTCGGCATCGGGCGCTTCGACTTCGCGGCGCCTCTGTTGGATCTCGCGCTGCTGGGCTCCGCGGCGCCGGTGCGGAGTTGCGCGAGGCTGGGATTGGCGCCGTTGGTGTTGGATCTCTTGCACTTGGAGCTCATGTTGTTGGCACGATCCTTTGGATACTTGGGCTTGGCCTTCTTGGCCTTTGGACAGGCATGCTTAGGTTTGGCCACGTCGATCTCGGACCTCAGCAATTCGGGATTCTTAACTCTGGTCAGAAGCATGGCAAGGTTTGACCTGGTGATGTCAGTGTTTGACCTTTTGCACTTGGGCCTATCAATGCCTTTGCACTCGTTTGCACGTTTTGGCCTGGCCTTCTTCGTGTATGGACAGGTATGTTTTGACTCCATGGTACCGGCCTTAGATATGATTCATCTCGGCTTCCTCTTGTCGATTCGAAGCTTTGCTCAAGCCGGGCTCCTGATGTTGGTCTTGGATTTCTTGCATTTGGGCTCTTCGCTGTTCACACACAGTTCCGGTTACTTAGACCTCGCCATGTCAGCTCTGGACCCCTTACATATGGGCTCCTCCGTTTTCTTGCGAGGCCTCGTGCAACTGGGCTCCACCTTCTCCACCTTCGGCTGGGCGTGTTATGGCTCGAATCTGTCGGCACGGAGCTCTGTGACCTTGGACTTGGCCTTTTTCTCGTTCGGCATCGGATGTCTCGACTCCATGCCTTTCGCCCTGGACCATGTGACGCTGGGCTTCTCCCCGTCGGCGCGCAGCTTCGCACGCTGTGGCTTGGTGCTGTCGGTGTTGGATTCCTTGCACTTGGGTTTCTTGACGTCGTCGAGATCCTTTGGGTGTATGGGCTTGGCCTTTTCAACTTTCGGGCTTAGCAGGATGGACTTCTTGTTGTTGGTCTCGGACCCCTTGCACCCGGGCTCCTCGGCCTTCGCGAGGAGCTTTGCCAAGCTGGACTTGGTGCTGTTGATCTTAGATTTCCTGCACTCAGGTCTTCCACTTCCAGTGAGGTCGTTTGCACGAGCTGACTTCTTCGTGTCAGTGCTTGGCCTGGGAAGAGCAGGCTTTGTGTTCTTCCTGTCCATCATCGATCATGCGATCTCCGGCCCCCTGCTGTTGTTGAGGTCTGTTGCAAGGATGGGCTTGGCTGCTTCGGCCCTGGACTTCCTGCATATGGGTTTCTTCATGTTGCCTAAGAGCCCCTCACAGCCTGATCCAAGCTTCTTGGTCTTTGGCATCACTTGCACGGGTTTCTTGCTTCTGGCCTTGGACTTTACAGCACTGGGCCTGTCACTGCTAGCGCAAAGCATGGCCTGTTTTGGCTTTTCGTCGTCGGTCCTAGACCCCCTCCACCCAGGGTCCCCTTCCTTGCTGCGAAGTTTTGCTTGAGCCGACCCGGCTGTGCTCGTCTTGGACCTTTTGCACTTAGGCCTCCTGTCGTTCTTGCGGTCACCTGCATGCACAGGCTTCATGTTGCCAGTGTGCGGCTTGGTTTGTTTGGGCCCGTTGATGCCAGCCCCGGACTTCGCGCAACTCGATTCAGCTTCATTGACTCGAAGTCCTGCTTAGCCAGGCCTCATGGTGCTGGTCTTCTACTTTGCACATCTTGGACTCTCGCTTTCGGCGAGATCATCCTCTTGGCTGAACCCAGCGGTCTCAACTCTAGACTTCTTGCGCTTGGGGTTGCCCTTGTCCACTCGTAGCCTCACATGGACTGACTTGGTACTGTCAGTCTGTGGCATTAGCTGATTGAGCTCATCACCTCTCGTTCCTGACAGCATCCTTTCAGGATCTTTTCCGTTGGCCCAAAGCTTGGTATGCACGGACTCCTCTACTTTCATCCTGGACTTCACGCATCTAGGCTTCTTAACGTTCTTGCGCAGCTTCGCATGCCTGGGCTTGGCCTTGTCGGTCTTTGACCTCCTACATTTGGGCCTCCCCTTGTTCCTTCACAGCCACATTCGGGTGGGATTTCCGCCCTCCACCTTTGGCCTTGCTAGACTTGGAAGTACCATGCTGGCCTCAGATGCCATGACTCCAGGGTTAACGACCTTGCCGAGAAGTTCTGCATGACTGGGCTTCTCGTGCTTCGCGTTAGACCTCTTAAAGCTGGGTTTTTCACCCTCCACTCGATCCATGGCGCAGTTGGGCTCCTTCCCATCGACTTCGGGCCTGTCACGTTCAGGCTTGGTCTTCTTGCTCTTGGTGGTGGACTACACGTTTTTGGGACTCTTGACGTTCGTACAAAGCTTGGCAAGGCTTGGCCCAGTGACATTGGCCTTGGACTCTTTACATTTGGGATTTGTGCCATTCATTCAAAGCTCTGGCCGCTTTGGTTCCAGCTCATTGGCGCCGGACTTCTTGCACTTGGGGCCTTCGGCGTTGATTCGTAGCCCTACGCATGTGGACCTGGCCGTGTTGGTACTTGACCTCGCGCATGCGGAGCTGTCGTCGTCTCTTCGCAGCTCTGCCAGAACGGGCTTCGTCTTATTGGTTTTAGATTCTTTACACCCCGGCCTGCCGCCTCTGCCACACTCGTTCGCCCAACAGGACTCGGTGGCTTCAGTCTTTGGCATGGTCTGCCTCGAGCTCTCGGTCTCCGCCTTGGACTTTGCCATCTTCGGCTCCTCGCTGCTTTCGCGAAGCTGTGTACGACCTGAGCCCCTGTCGTTGGCGCTGGACTCTTTACACTTGGAGCCCTTGCCGTTCACACGCAGCTTCACCTAACTGGGCTTGGCTTCCCCTGCACTCTCCATGGTGAGATTGGAGTTGTTGGTGTCGATACCTGATCATATACACTGTGAACCTTTGTTGTCTGCGAGGAGCTGTGCTCATTTCGGCTTGCTGCTATTGGTCTTGGACTCCCTGCACATAGGCTTCTCCCTTTTGGCACGTAGCTTTGCACGTCATGACCTCGCAATGTCCGCCTTCAGCCTGTCGCGTCTGGACTTCTTCTCGCCGGTCTCAGATGCCGTGCACTTCGACCTGTCCATCTTCTTGCGCAGCACGGCGCGCTCCGGGTTCGCTCCCTTGGTCTTGGACCTCCTGCACATCGGACCCATGCCTTTGGCGCGCAGCCCCGTGAGGCGCCTCCGACTCCGGGGGGATCCGCGGAGCCGGGCGAAGAGGGGATGGGGGTTTCGGTGACTCCGGGTGGGTGGGTCGTAAGGCTTTTCGGAGAGCCACTGGTCCACAGGGGCTGCTTTTTCGCTGTTTGGGAGAGAATTTCGTCTTCTGAATTCACCCGCCGGCTGTGATTCTGAAAGGGGCGACCCTGCATGGCCATGCTCTTCTTCTCAGGATCGATGCCGAAAACTCGCTGGTGACCGGTTTGATCTGCCAGCACCCTCCAACAGGTCACCAGTCTGGTTCGACCTGTTAGGGTCCAACAACCCTCAACTAGCCTGGCCGAGTTCGGGTGCTGGTGGGGGGAGAGCGGCATTCCCAGTGAGTTCGAGTCTGTTCATTCGACCGGTCAGCATTCCACCCCGACCGGTCCTGGACTTTCCAAGAGGAGAGGCCGGGAGAGGCCCAGCGATGGGGCTGGAGAGATCGGGAGGTCAACGACCCGTCTGTTGAGACACGACCCGTCTGGGACTGCGACGGACAGCCGATCAAGCCAGACCCACCCAGACGGCCAACTCGGCAGTCCGACGTAGGACAACGGACGGGTCGTGTCTGGGTGGCTATGCCACGGAGCTATGCCACGGACCCTTCCGTTCGCCTGGTGGTTCTTGGGCACCGAATGGAAGGTCCAGGGGTCTAAGGACGGTCCAGGAGATCGGCGAGGAAGGTTCCATTCTCCAGGAGCAAGAAGCTAGAAACCCAAAACCATCCGCTAGTTCGGATCGAGCGAGCGAAAGGACGCGAACCGAACGGGGCGACCCTGGCCTTACTACTATATGCTACACTATGCTACTAGGGGAGGTCCATCCTTGAAACGTGTGCTGTGAAGGTCCATGACCCATGGATCTTCCGTTCGTGACCGGTCACTTGATCCCTTGGTTGCTTTGAGGTCACAAACAGGCGCTTGTAAATGGTCACGAACACCCTAGAAGTCCAGTTCGACGAGATGTCTTGCCCCACTGAAGTGTTCAGGAAATTCCTTGACTCCGGTCACCGAACTCGTCAGCTCGTCAGACCATTCTTGTGATAGTCCGGTCACTCCAAAGTTCGGTCACCGGGAAGGTCCATGACCGATGGTCTCTGCGTCCAGCCGGATGGTCTCTGCCACCGTGGGGCCAGGTGTGGCTCGTGCTTCTTGGCCATGGGCACGGCACGCTATGGATTGACGCCTTTGGTGAGGAGCAAAACGACAAGTCAGCATGAAACCAGAAAAGATATCTTTTCTCTTCATAACTATGAAAAGAACGGACCAATTTCATACCATTTTCACCATAATATAATAGCCTTTTGTGAGGAGCTTCAGCACTTTCGACTTGGCCCTGTTGGTTTGTGGCCGCTTGGTGGGATGGAGAGTGCTTGGTCGGATTGGGAAAGAGTTAATGAGAAAAGAATAGCATGGGGTTTGAGATGGAGATGGTTTGAGGGTAGTTGATGTACTTTCATTTTCTTATCACTCTGTCTTCAGACACGTGAGGAAATAAATAAAACGACGATATATCCCAGGGCCCCCCCCCAACGCTTAAGGAGTGTCTAGTAGGTCGGCCACGATTTCCCGAACCACTTTGGCCCTCCCGGCCCTCCCCAGGAGCGTTCCGAGTTCGGAGGATACCTGGACCTTCAAGGGATGTCCTGTCTGGAGGTCCCTTAGTGGTGGGCTGGGGCGAAACCAGCCAGGGCACCCCTTGGAAGGTCCTGGTACCATCTATGGTGCGAGTCTCAAAAGAAGGCTCTAGAACAAAGCCCGGCCCAGGGGTGCCCAAAGGACCAGGTCGTGAAAGGGAGCTTGACGACCTTCAGGAGCGACACTCGTTCGTGTTTTTTGCTTCGACCTGGACTTCAGGAACGGGCAATTCCGACATGGAACTGGCACGAACCGACTTCGGGACACCTAAACTCCCCACGAAGCGAGGAATCCATCTCTCCCCTCCGGAAGCTCGGAACCGAACGGAACCCGAGCGCCGGTTCACCGGTTCGACCGGTTCGACCGTCCCAAGAACCGGAGGATGGAGGATGGATTCTCCGCCCGGGCCCCCCGCCCCGGTTCGACCCGTTCGGTAGTAGTAGAAGCAACATGGTCCAAGGAGCTGCCGTTTGGGTGGTCCAAACATCCTTAGGTACAGCGATTCTTTGGTGAAAACCTAGCAAAAAGACCTGAAAAGCCAGATATTTACGGTCACTTCGCAACGGCAGAACAAGGATGTTTGAGACATCCTTGTGTTCAACTCTGATTTCTGAAAAGCATTTTGGCAGCCTGATCAGATCACCCCGGAGCACCAGCGGTCCCCATCTCTGGGCTCGTAGAATGCCCTCCACTGGAATGTCTTCAAATCGGACAGCCACTCCAGAGAAAGCGCCAGATTGGGTAGATACCATTCCTTGTAACAGTGGATGATCATTGTTAGTAGAGGCCAGAATACAATTATTCTTCTCCACATGCCTCCCATCCACCTCATCTGACTCACTCCACTCTCAGGCGTGGCCAGCATGAACTTCACTTTATTGGTCTTGGATTTCGCGGTCGTAGACTTCAGCACGCCCTTGCACAGCTTCGGCCGCCCAGACTCGGCTCCGTCTGCCTCGGATCCTTTGCATTTGGACTCACCGGTGTTGCCGAGGAGCTCCGTGCGCTTTGGATTGGCCCTGTTGGTCTTTGGATTGGGATGTATGGAGTCGTTGATGTTGGCATTGGATCGCGTGCACTTGGGTCTCATCTTGCTCTCAAGGAGTTCGGCATACACGGGCTCGTCGGTCTTGGTCTTGGACCTTCTGCACTCGGAGTTCCTGATGCCTTTGCACTCCTGCTTCCGTGGTGGCTTTCCAGTGTTGGTCTTGGACCTCTTGCACACTGGACCTTTCTCGCCCTCGAGATCGCTCTCTCAAATGAACTTTGTGTTTTTCTTGATGGGTAAGGCCAGCTTTGATTCGTTCACACTAGCTTTGGACTCTGTGCATCCTGGAAGCTTGATGTCTTTGAGGTCCTTTGCCCACATTGGTTTGTCAGTGCTGACCTCTGACTTTCTCCACCTTGGCCTGCTGATGTCCTCAAGATCTTTCAGTCGCTTTGGCTTCTTCTTTTTCGTCTTCGGACTGGCACGGCCTGAGCTTTCCACGTTCGCCCTCGATTTGGCACATACAGACTTTCTCTTGTCACTTCAACAACCTGCATGAACAGAGCTGACCTTGCTGGTGGCAGGTCTAAGTCGACTTGGCTTGGCACCCTTGACCTCAGACTTTACACACTTGGACTTTTCGATGTCAGTGCAAAGCACGGCGAAGCTGGGCCCTGCTTTGCCAGCGCTGGACCTTCTGCATCTGGGCCCTTCGCCCCTGGTCCGAGGCTTTGTGCGGATGGGTTTCATGTTGTCCGTCTTTGGGGATATCCGCTTCCCCAACGGCTTTGCGAACGAGAACTTATCCATCCTAAGTAGGGTGCGATTTGGCTTCTCCTTGTTCGTGTCGGATTGGACGACTTCTGGATCTTCCTTATCAGCCAGAAGTTTCGTTTGTTGTGGCTTGGCCGTGCTAGTCTTGGACTTCTTGCACTTGGGATTCTTGCCGTTGATGCGAAGCTCCGTTCGATCTGAATTGAACCTGCCCATCTTTGGCTTGGCCTGAACGGACTCACCAACCTCTACCTTGGATCGCGCACACTTGGGGCCCACCTCGCTGTCACGCAGCATGGCACAGCTGGGTTCGGTGACGCTGGTCTTGGACCCTTTGCACTTGGGATCTTTGCTGTTCTTGAGGTCTCACGCGCGCTGCGAGTTGACGTTCTTGGTCTATGACTTTGCGCATATGGGACCCTTTCTCTCCTCGCGGTCTTTTGCTCAAATGGGGTCCGTACCATTAGCCACGGGCTTGTGTAGATTGGAGTTCACAGTCTTGGTGTTGGATTTCAGTGCTCTAGAGTTCTTGGTGTTGGTCAGAAGCCTTGCTTGCTTGGGACCCTTCTTGTTGATTTCAGACTTCCTCCAACTGGGCTCCTCAACCTCTTTGCACAGCTTCGTTTGTTGTGACTCCATTCCGCTGGTCTCTGGCATGTTGCGCATGAGCTCATTAGTGCCTATTCTGGATCTTGCACATTTGGAGCCCATCTTGTCAGCTAGGTCATTCGCACATTTAGGCAGTGGCGTGCCAATACTGGACTTGGTGCATTTCGACTCATTTTTGTTTTCACGTAGCTTCGCACAGTTGGACCTAGCTTCCTTCGCCTTCGGCGTCACTCGCTTGGGCTTTGCCTTGCTGGCGCTGGACCGCAGCCATTTGGACTTCTTCTTGTTTCTACACTCCTTTGGACGTTCAGACTTCGCTTCCTTGGCCTCTGGTATGGCGAAGTTGGACTTGATGTGTTCGGCCTTGGACGCGACGCACTTGGGCTCCAGCTCATCCTCGCGCTCCCTCGCCCGCACTGATTCCGCCGCCTTGGCGCTGGACTCCACCTTTGTCGGCTTGACCTCGTCGATGCGCTCCTTCGTGCACGTTGGCCCGGCGATGTTGGCGGTGGGCTTAAGTCGCTCGGGCTCGCTCTTCGTGCTACCGGTGGCGGAGCATGTGACTTTGGACCCCTCCTCGTTAGCACGAAGCTGCGCGCGCTTGGGAAGCTCCTTGTTGGTGCTGAATTATGCCAGACTTGGACTGTTCATGTCCATCCGAAGCTTTGGTCGACCCGACTCCTTGCTCTTGGTGATGAACCTGGCACGCTTTGACCCGATGCCTTTAACCTCGGACTCCACGGCCTCAGAGTTCGCGTTGTTGGTGCAATCCTTCGTAAGGCTCGGCTTGATGTCTTTGGCCTTGGACCTAGCGCACCTGGAATTCCTGATGTCATCACAGTCTTCCACTCGATGTGATTTCACCATGCTGGCCTTCGGTCTGGCTCGAATGGGTTCGATTGTGCCCGTTTTGGACTATGCCTTCTTGGACTCCTCTCCCCCAACCCGGAGCTTTGCTCACCTTGAACTGCCACTGTCAGCTTTGGACTCTTTCCGCTTAGACTTTCCCTTGTCTTCGCGCGGCTACGGTCAGGTCGGTCCAGTGCCGTTCCCCTTTGGCTTGGGCCGCGCAGGATTGATCTTCTCCCTACCGATCATCGACTATACTCACCCGGAGTTCTTCATGTCTCCTCGAAGCATTTCTCGCCCGGGCCCAGTCTTGTTGACCTTGGACAGTGCTCATTTGGGCCCCTTCACGTTGTCGCGAAGCTTCTTACGACTCGGCAGTCCCCCCCTTCATCGTAGATTTCAGTCATTTGGGATTGCTACTGTTGCCCCGCAGCTTCAGCTGATCGGGCTCTGCCTTGCTGGTCTTGGACCTCTTGCGTTTGGGCCCTCTTCTGTTGGTCCAATCGTTCGTCCGAGTGGAGCTCATCCTGTCAGTGCTGGGCTTGAGCAGACTGGGCTCAGTCTTCAGCTTGTCGGTCATCGCATCATGCTATTTGGGCTTCGCCTTGTCCTCAAGAAGTTTTGCTTACTGCGACTCTGTTCTGTTGATCTTGGATTCTTTACATCCCGAACCTTCACCTCTGGTTCACAGCTATGGATGCCTTGACTCAGCTCTCTTGGTCTTTGGGATGACTCGACCAGGTAGCCAGCTCTTGATTTTGGACCTCTCCACTATCGGCTCCGCCTCATCAGCCCGATCTTCCAGCCAACCTGGCTTGTCGCTCTCGGCCTTTGACCTCGCGCACGTCGACTCAATGCCCTCGACTCAAGGCTCCTTAAGGTTCGACCTTCCAACCTCCACGATTGGCATGAGCTGCTTGGGTTTGGTCTTCTTGCTCTCGGTGGTGGACTACAGCTTCTTAGGTTTCTCTTTGTTCACACGAAGCATGGCATACTTCGGCCCTTTGGTCTCGGTCTTGGATCTCTTACATCTGGGCTCTTCGCTCTCATCACGTTCCTTCGGATGCTTTGGTTCGCTGCTGCTGGCCTTGGACCTTTTGCACATGGGCTCATCGGTGTCCTTGAGGTCCCATACTTAGCCAGGTTCCACTTGCTCAGTGCCGGGCATGTCACGAGCAGGCTTCGTGTTCGCGCTCTTAGTCATTGAGTCTACTTGTTTGGGTTCAGCCTTGTCACTCCGCAGCTCGGCATGACTCGGCCTGGTCTCGTTCGCCTCCGACTTCCTTCATCCGGACTTCTCCACGTTCTTGCAGTCATTGGCACGCTGTGGCCCTGCCACGTTGCTGTCCGGAAGCTCAGGGGGGTCGATGATGGTCGATGGGGGAGACCCCCAGGCGGACAGCGGCTCTTGGGGATGGCGCACTTGGAACCCCAGGCCCAAGCAGAACAGCTCTTGGATCGATGTTCCAATTATGGCGCCAGCTTGAGATCCTTTACCCTGGGAGTCAAAGACTATTTTAAACATACGTCTTTAGGTGACCCGAGTCAAGGAATTTCCTTTACTTCAGTCGGTCAAAATATAGTCTTTGGACTTCTAGGGTTTACATAGCAAGTGGTTGAGACTGTGGAACCATCCATGTATGCTCTATGGTTGAGACTGGGTTTCGATCAGGATCCGGAGTTCTTCAATTAGTAGCCGTTTGAGGTTTCGTGCACGAAAGTTCACGGTTGTGTTAGTTGTGTTGGGTTTTCGTGCACTGAAGGTTTGGACCTGTGAGGGTTTGAGTTTGCTTTCCTGCTGAGTTGTACTCTCAACCTTGCCTTCACCTGGTACATAGTCCTTCAAGTCTCGTGGTCAGAACGCCTAGCAGACTGGCGTCCTTTGGGAGTCCATCGGCGGAAAGGCTGGTGTCATGGCACCAGATCAACCAGTTCACCTCATGAAGCGGTCGCTGGTGAACATGGTGAACTCAGCTACCTGGACTGACTCAGGGAGCCAAGCGGCTCCGCGAGTCTCTCGTGGAGCTGCGAACAGAAAGCGCCTGGTGGACCAGTGGACAGCAAGCGCGTGTCGTATGTGCTGGATCTTCCAAACTCTGCGACAACTCTGCCGGTTTGATGGAAGTGCCGCAGACACGGCAGGCACGGGCACGAGCACGACCCAGTCCTTGATGGAAGAGAGCTCTCTTTTAGCCGAAGGAAGCTTGTTCTTGAGAGCCACCGGTGAGCTATAGTTCATTATTTTCGCTATACCAGCAGTCACAAAGGGGTGCTTAACCGAGGTTAGGGGTGCCCATTATCCACTCACTTGCGGACTAAACACCACCCCTTTGTGACTCCTGGTATATAGATCTCAATTATTTGAATGTCACCTATGTTACTGAAGTTTGATGTTTTGACCCTTCTTGATGGGCAGTTCAACCATGTTCAATCACGTTTCCCCACCTGCTTGAGCCTTCCACATAAGACCTGGGTGCAGTAAGAAGCCTGCGGGTGTTGCAGTGAAGAAGGTAGGAGGTCTTCCGTGGCCTGAAACGTGGCCTGAAAAAGGGAACTAAACGGAGGGTCGACCAATCCCTAGTGGCTGGCGAGCCCCACACCTGGAAACACTTCAGGTCTGGTTTGGCTCGCGTTGGCTCCGTCTTCTCGCTGTCGGCTGGGGCGCCCAGGGGCGCCCAAAGCAAGTCTGGCGTTTGGGCTCCTGAAGCTTGATGCGTCGGAGCCGCCGGATGACCGAAGCCCACTGATGTAAGGGAGACCGAAGCCACCATTCGTTGGAGACCACCAGGACCCTCCAAGGGGGGGCCCAATGGAAGCCTATAGGTAGTGTGGGGTAGTTCATTGGACACCCCGACAGGAGGGTCCTGGAAGAGAGCCAGGTGTTTTTTTCCCACCTTGAATGGTCTTACCGGTTCGGCTTCGCCTCCACTGGTGATCGGGCACGTCGGTGACCTTGTGGAGCGAGGGTAGACCTCTTGGTCGGTCAAGAAAACGTCCAGTTCTCCCCAACGTGGCTAGCAGCTTTAGCAAGGTGGTCATATTTGAACCAGACAGCCTTTTCCGAGGAACCCCCCCAAGACGGCGAGTGGAGCCCCCAAATCTTCCAAACCTTCCTGACCGCGCAGGTCATTTCCTCCACCTGCCCGGGCTTGTCGCCATCCCTGCGGAGCTTGGCACGCTTTGATTCGGGCCTGTTGGTGCTGGACCTCCTGCACTTGGGCTTCTCCTCGTTGCTCCACAGTGGGGCGCCCCGAGAAGACGACTTGGGCCGTACTAGACGCTGTGGATGGTCTATGATGGTCCATGATGGTCGATGTATTGTAGACTCTTGATTAGGAAAAAAGATATCGAATACTGTATCCAAGACATGGATTGAAGATGATTGAAGTACCTCGTCATGCTTGAATCATTTTATTGAATCATTTTATAGTGGACCTGAAGTGAAGTGAGGTGGGGGGGTTTAGGAAGTGGCACGAAGTTGGAGCTTCTGTTTCTTCACAGACGAACAATCTAGGAGCAAAGGGCATCGCTACTAGGAGCAAGGACGCGCGCTACTAGTAACAAAGGGCATCGCTACCAGGATGGTATTTCTTGGGACCTGGACTTTCATGACTCCTTCTCTCATGGAACTCAAATCTTTCGCCAAATGCCCTCCAATTCAAAGACATCTGTTATATGTCGTTTTTCAAAACGGTTCTGATGGAAGCCTTCCACAGGTCTTTACCCAATCCTCATACCTCCTGCATGCGGACGACGTCCTCTTGCCTCCACTTTGCCGCCGGTTCCTGAGGCTTTGCACACACGGACTCCGTGCTGTTGGTGGTCGGGCAAAGCAAATTGGACTTCTCCTCGTCCGTCTTGGACTTCCTGCACTTGGGCCTGGCCATGTTCTTGCACAGCCTCGCGTGCTGCGAACCAGCCATGCCGGTCTTTGACCTCCTGCATTTAGGCTCCCCGTCGCCGATGCGTAGCTTTTCGCGCTTGGGCTTCTCGTGCTCTTTGTTAGGCTTGTCGCGTCCTGGGTCAGTGTCCTTGCTGTCGACCATTAGCAGTGCACTTTTGGAGCCTTTGGTGCTGATTCGAAGTGTGTCAAGGCTTGGCTTCGCACTCCCAGTCTTTGACTTCTTGCATATCGGAAGCCTGTTTTTGCTTCGCAGCATGGCTTACTTTGACCTCTTCATGTCCGCCTCCGGCCTCTCGCGTTTGGACCTGGTCTTCTTGCTATTGGCCATTGAATCCACCCACTCAGAGTCGTTTCTTCCGCTTCGAAGTTGTTTGCACCTGGGCCTTGGTCTTTTGGTCCTCGATTTCGCTCGCGCCGACTCACTACTGCTCTTGCGGTCTCGGGCACGTGTAGGCTCAGTGGTGTCCACTTGCGGTCTGCTCTGGTGTGGTTCTTTCATGCCGCTTTTGGACTATATTCAATGTGACTTGGCCGTGTTCTTGAAGAGTGTCTCATGGGTGGGTTCAGTCATGTTCGTGCTGGACTTCCTCCATTTAGGACTGATCATTTCATTGCGCGGTCCTGGTCACTTGGGCCTGGTGGTATTGGCAACTGGGCTGTCATGCTTGGGCTTTGTGTCCCCGCTACTTGTGACCGAAAGCACCAACCCTGGCCCCTTCTTGTCAGTGCACAGCATCGCATGTTCCGGCTTGGCCTCTTCAGTGCCTGATTTCGCACGCATGGGCTTGCCGCTTCTTCCACAAGGATCTGGACAAGTTGACAGTATGCCGTTGGTGATGGGCATGTCAAGGATGGGACTCTGCTCGTTGATCTTGGACGTGGCGCAGCTGGGCCTTCCATTGTTCTCACACAGCCTTGCACGATCAGACTCGGCATCGTTCGCGTTCGACTTTTTACATCCGGGTTCACCGATGTTGCTGCAGTCTTCGTCACGCTCGGGCCCTACGATGCTGCTTTTCGGGCTGTCCTGAGCGGGTTTGGTGTTCTCGCTGTTGGTGATTGAAAAGGCCATCTTAGGTCCCTCACTGTTCGCACGAAGTGCTTGCCAAATGGGCTTGGCGCCTTTGGTCTTGGACTTTTTGCACATCGATTTCTCCTTTTCGGCGAGGAGTCTTGCACACTTTGGACTTTCAGCATTGGTGTTTGGAATGCAATGCCTGGAATTCATCTTCACACTCTTAGTGGCGGATTGCGCTTTCCTTGAACCTTCCCTTCCTGCTCGCAGCATTGCATACTTTGGCCTCACCTTGTTGGCCTTAGATCTTCTTCATCTCGACTCCTTCTTGTTCATGCGATCCTCTGGACAAATGGGCTCCGCGCTCTTGGCCTTTGATTTCCTCCATATGGACCTCTCCATCTTGCTACGAAGCCCTTCATGCTTGGACTTCATCGCATTGCTCTTCGGCCTGGCCCGTGCAGGCTTCGTCTCCTCCCCGTCGGCCATCGAAACCGCGCACTTTGGATCGCCTTCATTGGCGCGAAGCACCGCTCGATTGGATTCGATGTCTTTGGCCTTGGACCATGCACGCTTGGGCTTCTCGTCCTTCTTGCATTCCTTCGGCCAATTAGGCCTCGTACTGTCCATCTTCCAAAAGGTGCAGTTGGGGTTCATACTTTTGGTCCTAGACCTCGTCCTGGTGGGATCCTTCTTGTTGGCGCGGTCGCCCACCAGGCCGGGCCCGATGTTACCGATCTATGATTTTGGGCACTTGGACTCGTCCACTTCCTTGAGGTCATTGGGATGTTCAGGCTCCGCCACCTTGGCCTTTGCTCCATGCGCCTTTGGATCCCCTCTTCCGGTCTTAGACTACACCTGCTTGGGCTTCTTGTCGCCTTCACATTCCTTTGCTCAACTGGGTTTCTTGATGCCAGCCTCAGACTCTCTTCAGACCGAACCCTTCACGTCGATCCAGTCCTTCGCACATGTGGAGTTGAGCTTTCTGGTGCTCGGTGTGGCGCGCTTAGGACCGAGCCTACTGGCTTTGGACTTCTTGCATCTGGGCTTCTCTTTGCCCGTGCGATCCCTTGCGCAGGTCGATCTGGTGGCGTCCGTCTTGGACTCTTTGCACATTGGACCTTTGACGTTGGTGCACGGCTTTGCGCGCGTGGGACTCAGGCTGTCCTTATTTGGCATGGGATGTCTTGGTTTCCTCTTCTCGCTCTTTGTCATCGAAGCCACCAAGTCGGAGCCCTTGCTGTCCGCGCGATCCTGTGCGCAGCTGGGCTTGGCTTTGTTCGTCGTGGACTTCCTCGAGCCTGGTTCGTCCTTGCTGCTGAGGAGCTGCTTTAAGCCTGGCTTCATGATGTTGCCGATGAGTAGAGCCAGCCCTGAGTTCTCCATTTCAGCTCCAGACCCCGTGATGATGGGCCTCTTCTCGTCTCTACAATCGTGTGCTCACTTTGGATTAGTCGTTTTGGTGTTTGACCTCTTGCACATGGACTTGAGCCTGTTCCTGCGAAATCATGTTCGAACCGGTTTGGCACTCTCTGTGGCAGGTATGGGTTGTTTTGACTCCCCTCTCTTTGCACCTGACTGGGCTGTGCCCGACTCTTTCTTGCCAGTACAAAGCTTTGCATGATCGGGACCACTCCTGTCAGTGTTTGACCTCTTGCACACGGGTTTCTCAGTCTTCTCACACAGCTTCGGTTGCATGGACAGCCCTTCATCACTGTTTGGCATCGCACGAGTGGGACCCGTCTTCATGTTGCCGGTCATCGAACACGCGCATCTGGGCAGCGTGTCGTTGGTACGCTCCATCTCGCGAATCGAGTTCGCCTTGCTTGTGTTTGACCCCTTGCACCTCGATCCCCCGATGTTTCTACGGCAACCTGCGCGTTTAGACTTGCCATTGCCCGCGTGCGGCAAGGCGCAGTTGGGTTTCTTGATGTTCGTGCTGGACTCCGTCCATCTGGACTTGCTGTTGTTGTTGAGATCACCTGCACGATTTGGCTTCGTGACATCCACTTGTGACTTCTTGACCTTGGGATTCTCCCTGCCCATCCGCACCTTCATCCACACTGGCTTGTTCTTGTCGGCCTTTGGGAAGTTCAGCTTCGGATCGAGCAGCATCTCAGTGATGGGCTACGTGCAATTCGGATCTTTCTTGTTGGCCAGAAGCTTTGCATGCTTCGGACCCTCTGCCTCAGTCTTAGACTTCTTGCATATCGACCCCTCCATGCCCACGCGAGGCCTAGCTTATTGTGGCCTCCTGTTGCCATTGTCAGGCGTAGCCAGGTTCGAGCTCCTGATGCCGGCACCGGATTTTGTGAATCTGGGCTTCTCCCTGTCTATCCGAAGCCGTGTGCGCTTCGATCCATTCTCATCGGTCCTGGACCTTTTGCATTCAGAACCCTCCGCGTCCCTTCGCAGCCTCTCTCGCATGGGATTCTTCTCGCTTCCACCTGGTACCAGTTGCATGGGACCCCTCGCATCGGCTCCGGACGCGCTTCAGGCCGGCTCGGCGCCCTCGACCCGCTCCCTCGCTCGATCGGGCTCCGTGTCGTTGGCAGCGGACTTCGTGAAGGTGGGCAGTTCCTTGCCGGTACGATCGTTTAAACAACTCAACAGCTTGGTGCCAGTGATGGGCATGATGAGATTCGGCTTGGTGTTGTTGGTTTTGGATGCGGCCATGCTCGACTTCATGTTGTTGGCACAAAGCTTCGCTCGCCTCGAGCTGGGTTCATCAGCTGTGAACTTCGGACACCTGGGACCTTTGTTCTTCTTGCGAAGCCATGCATGTCTTGCAAGTATCCTGTCTGCCTGCGGCTTGGGATGCATGGGGCTCTTACCACTCGTCTTGGACCTCTTGCGCCTGGGCTCCTCCATTTCGGCGCGAAGCTTCACGCGTTGTGGATCTGCTGTATTGGTCTTGAACTTGGCTCATATGGATTCGTCTCCCTCACTGCGCAGTTCTGCTCAAGTGGACTTGCCTCCATTGGTCTTCGGCTTGGTTTGTCTTGGTCTCAGTCTTCTGGTGTTGGATGCGGTCTCCGTGGACTTCTCCTCATCCTCGCACAGCGTGGCCCGCCTGGCTTTGGCCGCTCCAGTCTTGGACTTTCTGCACATGGACCCTTCGTTGTCTTTGCGGCAATCCTCTTGCTCGGACTCGATGGCTTTCGTGTTCGGGGGGGCTCGTTCGGGCTTGAGCTTGTTGATCTTGGACGCTGCGCAGTTGGGCCCTATGCCTTCCTTGCGCTCCATGTCTCAACTGGACTTGGCGACTTTGGTCTTGGATGCAGCCTTCCTAGAACTCTCCACGCCCTTGAGAAGCAGCCTTCGAGCGGACTCGGTGCTGTCGGTCTTTGACCTTTTGCATCTTGACTTCAGCATGTTGCTGAGATCCTCTGCGCACTTGGGTTCCTTCGTATTGACTCTCGATGTGATGCACATCGACCCCTCCATATCTTCACGCGGCTTTGCTCACTTGGACTTCTTGTCATCCACGTCTGGATTGTGCCGTTTGGACTTCATCTTCGCCCTGTCAGTGGTGGAAGCCCTGACCTTGGGATCCGCTCTGCCTCTGCACAGCTCCAGTCGCTTGGGCTTCTTTCTCCTGGTCTTGGACTTCACCTTCTTGGGTTTTCCGCTCCCCGCGCGCAGCCTCGGGTGCTCGGGCTTGATGGCCTCGGCCTTTGATGCCAACCACTTGGGATTCATGTCGTTGCTGAGGCAATTCTCATGACCAGGCCTTGTAGCTTTCTTGTTGGGCATGGCGTGCTTGAACTCGTTGCCTTCGGTCTTGGATCTTGCAAGTCTGGGCCTTGGGCTGCTGCTGCAATCTTCCGCAAGATCAGAGCCGGCCACCTCGATCTTTGACTTGGCACACTCGGGCTCCACCATTCCTCTCCAACAGTCTGCCCAACTGGACCCAGCGATTTTGGCCATCGGACTCGCACGCGTGGGTTTGGTCTCCTCGCCCTCCGTGGTGGATAGCGCCTACTTGGGCTTGCCCTCGCCCCTGCGCAGCTTCATACGCTTCGGCTCGGCGACGTTGGTCTTGGACGTGGTGAGCATGGCGTCGTCGTTGCCGATGAGGAGCTCTGGATGTTTGGGCTTGGTACCTCCGGCTTTGGATCTTGGTAGCTCTGGATCGATGCTGTTCATCAGGCAGTCCGTTCGTTCAGGTCTGGTCTCGTTGGCGATGGGCCTAGCGCAGTTGGGAAGTTCGCTTCCGGTTTTGGATGCCATTCACTGTGGCTCTGTGACATTGCTGAGAAGCTCTGCGCGCTTAGAGCTTCCGATGCCCGTCCTGGATTCCGCCAAGGTCGGCTTGAGCATGTTGGTGCGACAACTTGTTCGTCTTGGTTCCTCCACGTTCATGGTTGGTTTGTCTCGACTAGGCTTCGTCTCCTCCCTGTTGGTGGTGGACTCCGCTTCTCTGGGCAGCTCGTTGTTGGTGAGATCGCCAGCCCGCTTAGGCTCCGGGGCTTTGGTCTTGGGCTTTGCACATCTCGAGCTGCCCATGTTCGTTCGCTCCCTTGCACAGCTGGGTTTTCCAGTCTTCATCATCGGCCTCGCGCGCCTGGGTTTGGTCTTTAGGCTCTCGGTGATCGAAACCTGCACCTCAGACTTCCCCCTGTCGCTCCGATCCTTGGCATACTTAGACTTGGCCGTCTCGGTGTCAGAGCTCCACCACCTGGACCCCTCGACGTCCTCACACAGTTGGGCCCAAATAGGCAGCACGACGTTGACCTTCGGTGTGGTGTGAACGGACTCGCTGCCCTTGGCGTTGGATTGCGCCAATCTTGGGCTAGCATCGTTCGTGCACAGCTTCGCTCGGTTGGAGTTCGTGGCGCTGGTGTCAGGCTTCCAACATGTGAGCTTCTCACTGTTCCTGCAAAGCTTCATTTGCTTGGGCCCTACAATGCCCATCTTTGGCTTGAGCAGAACAGGATTCGTCTCCTTGCTGCTAGTGGTGGATTTCGCCAGAACGGACTTCTTCTTGTTCCTGCACTCTTTCGCCTGGCTCGG